CGTCCAGCTACTACTCGTTAAGGGCGCCGAGGTTAACGCGAAGGGAGGCTACTACGGTAACGCTCTCCAGGTTGCATCATTTCACGGTCACGTAGAAACCGTCCAGCTACTACTCGATAACGGCGCCGAGGTTAACGCACAGGGAGGCTTGTATAGAAACGTCCTCCAGGCTGCATTAGCAGGTGGTAACGCAGAGACCGTCCAGCTGCTGCTCGATAACGGCGCCGAGCTTAACGCGTAGAGAGGCCACTATGGCAACGCCTTATTCGCTACCCTTATCGGCGAGAACAATAATATCGTAGCCTTGCTTCCAGACCGGAGCTTCTGCTACAAGAATTTCTTACAGAATAAACTCGGGCGCTCTCGTATACTTCTGGCTACATGCTATAGATATCTTCCCAGTCTGGAACAAGATCTGTCAAGCGGAAGTGCTAGTGTCGACGAAGCGGACCACTACCAATAGACTACACTACATTAGGCGGCGTACTTCGGGCAAAGTGCAAGTATGAAAATGCTACTATAAAACGGGGCTGACCCAACGAAGTGTGACTGGCAAGGATGGAATCCTTACGGCATAACGGTATTTGTCGGTTATAGTATTTCTGCGTTACGGGTCGGAGTTGCGGAAACTCTCTCGAACGTCTCGCCAGGTGAGCGTGTACGAGCATATTGCGACGCTTGTAGTCGTGTAAGTGGAGATCCCTTGTGTCACGGCTTCGAGAGCGCTAACGAGATGCAGAAACTCATTCAGCATCAACATCACTGCCAGGCATGCGAACCTGGCTACGACCTATGTTTTCGCCGCTTTCGTGATGCAGATGTCGTACATGCCGGACATAGCTTCAATATGGATATTTAGTATTAGTAGCAAACGCAACATGCGAGTGAGACGTGCTCAGTGATCATCTTTTCGGCTCGGATACGTGCTCATTTTAAGCACTTGTCGGCCGTATGGTATTGAAACACTACCGGAGGACCGGGCATGTCTTTGGGGGATCGTGCTGTGTCAGGCATCACTTCTCCAGGTACAGTTCGTTGTGGCCGTCAGCAGTGGAGGTCTTTGTCGATCCTCCGAGGACCGTGGAACAGCTCGCGTCATGACTCGTGCGATCTGCCAGTACGTATTGTGTCGGCTCCCGCGAATGTTATCTGCGGACCTACATAGCTTAAATCCTGGGCATTGATAGATACGGAACATCCTTACGAAGTAACTCGCACCCGTTGTTATTGCATATGTAGAATGGCACAGCGCTGCGTAGCCTGTAACAATCATCATTCGACCTCTGTATGTGATGTAGGACTACGGTAGAGACCTAGGAAGATCAAGACGGCTTGGTCTTACGCTGATTGCTAAGGTTACAGCCGCAGTTATTACACTGTATAACGAGGAGTCAGCAACATAGGATGGTGAGAACTAGCGTAAGGGTCAGCATCGACGAGAAGAACAGACTCTTATCATTATGAAAGATCTGCTTGTCTGTAAAGAAAGCTATACTGACAGGAATTGTAACAGTCCCAGTTCTGCGTCCCAGTGCGCAGGTTTTCCGCAAGTTAGGGATGGGGGCGAATTTATCCGGATGGGTTGATTTGCCTCGTTACATGCCCAAAGCCGTGCTCGCCGTGCTCAATCATCGATGTGAGGCAGGATACGTCAAGAACAACAAACGCAAAGTCGACTTCCCTAAGGCGCATTTCATCATCCCCGCCACGGAACATGTGACAAATAATTATGTGGCATCCTTTTATCGGGATGGATGTGTGTCATTTCACAGGTGATGTTGTCGGCAAGCCCCGAAAGCCATCGGCTCAACTTCCGATAGGGTCACTGTAGCGTCCTTCCGTGTTTCCCGGGGCACTCCGCCGCTGTTTTGCAGGCTTCAGACAAACAGAATCAATGGCTCAATTACGATCTGGTGACAATGTGATGTTATCTGCGAAGCAATCGTGCTGGCTATCTGCCTGTTTGTCGGCGCACCCGCTTTCTTGATCCTCCAACCGCCTCAGCCGCCATAACGAATACATAATGTAGAAAGCCATATTTGATCCCTCTGGAAAGCTCAAAGAATGAATCAGGCAATTTTTGTCCGAACTCTGAAAGGTAGATGGCAGGGCAATTTGTGGCAATATGTAGTAAGGGGGCATGAGGAGTGGCATAGGTAGAGATTTTTATTTCGTGCTTGGATCGATCAATGACAATTTGTTGATGCGAGCCTTTACACATCACTCATTGAAGGAGCACTAACTTCACAAATGCCGAAAGCTTCCCAATTCGCTGCAGGTAGATCCAAATCTGATGTGCCAACAATCACATCTTCGTTTGTACTTCCTAATTCATTCTAGTCATGGTAAGATTGAATAGATGACTACGTCGTGAGTAAGTAGCGCCATACCTGAATCAGGTCGGCAGAGCCTCCTGCCCGCGTCTCCTGCGTCTCGGAGCAGGTATAGGCATAACCTCTTCATCACTCTCGCCGGCCTCTTCGCGGACCTCTCCGCGCTTTCTCTCGCGAGCTGCCGCTTCCGTGGCGACTATAGACGACAGACTGTCGTCATAAGATGTAACATGTGGACAATGACGATATTTCTCCAGATCAATTTCCTGGATCCCGAGGAGGTTGGCGAGACGCAAGCTTTGTGTCTGCAGAAGAGCAACAGCAGTGATTTCATCTTCAAAGGTCACGCCGAGTCGCTCGTAGTCCAGTTCGCCGTCCAGAGTCATTGTGATTGTGAGCTTTCCGACAATCTTGGGTGACGGGACTGCGAGAGTTGAATTTGGCGGTTGCCATTTGGAATGGAACTCGGCGAGTTTGTCGGGATGGTATTTGCCGATGTATTTATCCAAGCCGCGTTGGACGTGGAATACAGGTCCTCCGTATTGAACCCAGCTGTCGAGGAGTTGATAGAATGATATGTCACGGGTCTCGGCGTGAGTCAAGAAGAAGCCATGATAGACCACATTGAAGACCCGATTCTGTTCGCATACATGTTCATCGTGAGCTGGTAGTTGATTCTTCGTTTGCAAAATCTCGATGTCCGTCGTCAATTTAGCTTGCAGCATTTGACGTTCAGTGAGATGGTCATATGCAGCCGAGGATAGAGATATCGCCATGATTGGTGCGGGGCTTCGAAACATGTCGGTGTTTTTAGACATAATTTGGCAGAGCGCTTGATGGTTTTGAGCGTTGCGCGATGGTCAAGCGGTGGATGGAAATAGATCACAAGATATTCCGGTTCTACACCAGGGTCAGGAGCAAACATATACACACAAGAGATTTTACACGTGCTATAAATTGCAAATCAAGCACAAGACGGCAAAGTCAAAGCTTTGTTTTTGAATGTCGTCTTCACGTGTCAAGGTTCGATGATCGTGCCGCTCGCAACTTTCATGAGCCGAACGGAACTCATCGGTGTTTGGGAACTCCATTCGCGTTTGTTTTACATGTGTTGAAGTCTTAGATATCTTTTCCCAAGCATCAGTCAGCCTCTGGTATAGAGTTCACTTGATTTCAAGATGTGTCGCCCAGAATGATGAATGCTTCTTGTCACTGACATCAGATCAAGCACCTTGCCTCGCCTTCTCCGCACAGATCAAAGCAATAACCCGACTCATCTCCGCAGCCTGTGCAGCATGCTCCTTCACAATCTTATCACTCACTCCTTCTGCCTTCGATAACTCCGACGTGCTCTTCAACATGCGGTTCTGAAGCGACAGCATCTTCTGCAGAGTATTGTCTAGGAAGGGTGCGGAGAACGCAACCGAATCCTTGTCGACGGGTCGAAGGCGCATCTCGAGCTTCCGTGGACGCTTCTTCTCCTCGGTGACAGGCTCGTTTTGCTCTGCGTAGGGCCTGGCACTTGTCAGTAGATGGGTTCAAGGTAAGCTTGGTGGCGTCCCACTTACTTCTTTTCGACAAATGACACATTCTCTGCCATTTCGGCGACGCGATTGGCGATCCTTGAGACCATGATCCCGTAGGCTGACTGGGGCTTTTCCGTTGGTCGCTCACCAGCGACTGAGGCGGCTTTGTTGGTGATTGGATTTGCAGCTCGTTGTGTTGGCTTGCGCGTGATGTGACATGTTCCAGCCGGCCCCGTCGCAGGAGTATATGACTTTTTGACCGGTGTCTTCTGGGTCGGGGTCTTGGATGCCGTCCCGTTCATCATGACAGATTGACGGTTAGTCGCTATCGAAAGTTTGTTGCGATGGGTATGGCCTCGTCGTCGTGATTTGACTTGGCTCCGATTCGGTACGACTGCAACAGCTTGCTGTAGGCTGAGAGTCTTGGATGCGAGTTCGTCAAATTGTTGTTAATGATTGGTACTGATCAAGACTCGTGAGGTAGCTGGTTGTTATTGTATGCAATTCCTTCGATGTCCGCCTGAGCATTCAAGACAACAATCATACGCGTTGTGTCGGATGTAAGTGAGCTGGATTAGCAAGTGTACGTCATGCTGTGCAACTTTATGCCAACTTCGGACATGTGCTGCCGGATCAGTCCCGGAGGAGGATTCATACTGTTGTAGCTTGCTTTTTGGCGTGACCCTCAGGACAACCTCGACCCATATCGACAGAGCAGGACCCGATACTACTGATATATATATCGCGTTCTTTGGTGATATTTCTGCGCCCTCGACCAATTTCACCTTTGCTCATCTTTACAAGATCATCACTACTGGACGTTGACAAAGAGTAATCAGCGTCATGACAGCCGATGAGGCGAAAACCAGTAAGGCAGCCAAAAAATCGAGAAACGTCCAGGGACTGAGCCTGAGATCCGGCATTGACAATCCGAACCCCATCCAACATGGTAACATGGGTCAAGCCGAGAGGGCATTCTCGGCCACGTCCACGTTCTTGTCAGGAATCATGGCCATTTCAGCATCCCAATTTTTAGGAGCACCTCTGAAGCTTATCGATCCAAAGGCATACGAGTGCTACATGGCAAAGACGAAGGAGTCATTTGCAATCTTGATGACGACGATCACGCAGTGGTGGGCTCCGACAGTCATCAGAGTCTCTGGCGATGAGAGCATGAAGGATCAGCTATATCAGATGAAAGATGGCTCGCTGAAATGCAACTTCCCACATCGACTCGTCTTGATGGCCAATCACCAGCTATATACCGACTGGCTGTATCTCTGGTGGATCGCGTATACGAATAACATGCATGGCCGAATCTACATCATCCTGAAGGAGAGTCTAAAACAGCTGCCTATCATCGGATGGGGAATGCAGTTTTACAATTTCATCTTTTTGAGCCGACGATGGGAGCAAGACAAATTGCATTTCAAGGTCCAGCTCGATCAGCTTAGCAAACCAGACGATCCCATGTGGCTTCTGATTTTTCCGGAAGGAACGAATCTGTCAGCGGAAATGAGGGAGAAATCGACAGCATGGGCAGAAAAGACCGGCATTCCAGATATGAAGAATCAACTCCTGCCACGAAGTACTGGTCTCCAGTTCTGCCTACGAGAGCTACGGCACTCCACCAATTGGGTGTACGACTGTACCATCGCATATGAGGGTGTCCCCGTCGGAACGTACAGTCAGGATGTGTACACACTCAGATCTTCATTCATCGAAGGCCGACCTCCAAAGTCTGTCAACATGTACTGGAGGAGGTATAAGATCTCCTCCATCCCGATTGACAATGACGAGGTATTTTCGAGGTGGCTGCTGAATCGATGGAGGGAAAAAGATTACCTGCTGGAGTACTTCAACAAGTTTGGACACTTTCCCTCTTACGAGGCCAAGCAAGCAATTGCTGCCGTTGAGGGCAAATACGACCCGAAGCATGCGAAAGCAATCACAACAACGTTGAAAGGTGGTGGATGGGATGAGTTCCTTGGCATCTTTGGACCGGTGACAAGTGCGGCTGGCGCTCTCAGTGCTATTGATCTGACCGAGCCTCTGAAACTTGACGAGATTGTGCAAAAGCTTGCTGAGTCTCAGCAACTCAATTTGGCGGAGTTGCAGAAGACGACGAGTCTGACCAAAGAGCAACTCATGAAAGGATTAATTTCAGCATCCGACAAGCATGCTCCAATATCCACATTATTGATGAAGAACCTTCTTTCCCCAAGATCTGACATCGTCCAAGCAAACAACATAGCCACGCATGATGTCAACAAGCCTCGCAGACCAGCAGCAAAAATCAAGATATCCGCCAAAGCGACACTCGCTCCAGCATCGCCACACAAAACAGCATCGGCTGTGGCGAGGAACACAATACAGAAACAAGAATCTCTGCCTTTGCCTTCAAAGCACGCGACAGCGACTCCCGCACAAAGGATTCGTGCCAAGCTCCCAATGACAAACACTGAACGGCTGATCACTCACCCTCTCAGCACTGTCGCGGTCCAGAATGTAGCAACAACGGCTCAGAAAATCGCGGTCAAGCGATTGAGCACCATCGATGCAACACGAAGTCGAGCTGTAAATTCACAGTCTTCGCATATAAAAGCAGCGGCCACCAAAGTTAAACCTTCAGCGAAGAACCAGGATGCCAAACAGCTGCTTGCTTCACCTGCCGCGGGATCCAAAGCAGTCCTCACTCGGAGACTGCTGCATTCAGCCCCATCGGCGGTTACCAAAAGGGAATCACAGGTCGTTGGTCGAAAGGCTCTGAAGTGAGGTGCCTCCAGTAGATATTCAGACTCGCCAGTTACCTAGAAGATCAGATAGTAATTGTGTAAATCGGGGCACAAATCGATAACCAAAGTAATTTCCTTGCTGTATCGTGTAAGAGGTGAGCGAGTTAAGTCATCACGTATGTGAAGCATTCAATCACAAGCGAGACCGACGTCATGTGTAACATTCCTTCCATGAAACAATTATCATCCCGTGATCCCTCCGCGACAGCAATGCATGCCAAAGATCCAACCTTTCCCATCCATCATCACTCCTTCCGTCAGCCAACAATCACCAAATTCAACACCTAACCTTCCAAACAGCCACCCGTCTCCTTCCCAACCCCCATTACAAACACCACTAGCCACAAACATAACGACAATGAACTACATGACCAACTGGGCCTCCGAAAAAGCCGCCTCAGCCTTGACGTACGGCATCCAAGCCGGCGGCACTCTCGCCGGAAACGCCGTCGGCGCCGCCGGAACAGCGATCGAATCCACCGGTCGTGGGCTGGGAAATGGTACGCATCATCTGTCTCTCCATCCGTACGAGGATGAGCTCACTGATCACGATTGGGTTTTCTCATGAAATAGGTGTTGCAGGCGCGATTGGCGGTGTAGGTGATTACATCAACGGATATGGGAATGCCATCAAGGGGTCGATGGCGCCTTCTGGTGTTGGTGGCGGTGGAGCGAGCGGAAAGGCGGTGCCGGTGACGAGTTCGATGAAGAAACCGGCGGTAGGACAGAAAATTGTTTCGAAGAAGAGCTCTCATCCTGCGACAACGACGATGGGTGGTAGCAAGACGAGTCTCCCTCTCCAATCCACGACGAGGACGACGGCAACGACGAATCCCACGACGCGACCTCCGCCATCACGGCTGACACCGAAAACGACAACGACAAGACCCATCGCGACAGCAAGCATCAAACCTGCACCACCAACGACGCCGAAACGTTCCCTTCCCACGCAAGCCCACCCACCAACCAAGTCCCCTCCTTCTCCTTCTGCGCCAGTCCCAACAGAGCCCAAGACAGCGAGGGTGCCACCAGCCAAGCATTCCCTGAACACTCGCACTTTGCAGGCCTCTCAGAAGACGCAGAGCGTACCCAAGAGAAATGGTGGAGGGAAGGTCAAGATTTCGGCGGAGAGTCGGCCGAGGGGAGACGGTGTGAAGACTTGAGACCTCCGTTGATGAATTTAACAGGGATGGTGGGCTATTGGGAGTGGAATCCGAGGAAGGACTTATGTGTTTGCGAAGGGAATGGGGGCGAGGGAAGAATTTTACGATGGAAGAGAGAACTATGATGATGATGATTGTCGTTGTCATAATGAATGATGAAAATTGGAGGAACATTTATCTATGTATCCATTGAACGAGGAAACCCCCTGTCCTTCTCTTTCGTGTGTCATAACAATGATTAATGAATGAACATGGCTCAAAACGAAGAAATGAAAAATACATCTCGAAAACCGCATCTATACTCCGTCGGGATCTAATCAGCAAAAGCATCTAATCCAGACCCTTCATTCATGCATGACACGACCAGATCCTCTACCCACTATACAATGCCCTTCGTTACTTCTTCTCCGCCGGCGAAGGCGGTCTCGACTTGCTGATTCCCTCATCCTCTCCCACCTTGCCATCGACATCCAGCACCTTCGCCACCGCGTCTCCCTCTCCCTCCTGCTCTCCCTCGACGAACGCCATCTCCTGGGCGTTCCAGAGTTCCTCGTAGATGCCGCCCTGCCTGGAGATCAGATCATCATGGGTGCCCTGCTCGGCGACGGCGCCGTTTTTCAACACGATGATGGCGTCGGAGTCGTAGATGGTGCGGAGGCGGTGCGCGATGAAGACGCTGGTGCGCCGCTTCTCCTTGAGGATGCTGTTGATGTTCGCGAGCAGGGTCTGCTCCGTGTGCGTGTCCAGGGCGGAGGTGGCCTCGTCGAAGAAGAGGAGCGGCGGGTCCTTGAGGATCAGCCGCGACACGGCCAGGCGCTGCTTCTCCCCGCCCGAGATCATCATCCCGCGCTCGCCGACTTTGGTGTCGTAGCCCTCCGGGAGGGACTCGATGATGTCGTGGATGCGGGCGCGCTTGGCCGCGGCCAGGACGCGCTCGCGGGGCGCCGTGATGTCGCCGTACCGGACGTTGTGCTCGATCGTGTCGTTGAAGAGCGGCGTGTCCTGCGGCACGACGCCGATGGCTTTGCGGAGGGACTCCAGGGTGATGGTGCGGATGTCCTGACCGTCGATGGTGATGCGGCCGGACTGCACGTCGTAGAAGCGGAAGAGCAGGCGCAGGATGGTCGATTTGCCGCAGCCGGAGGGGCCGACGATGGCGATCTTTTGGCCCGCGGGGATGGTGAGGTTGAGGTTTTGGAGGATGGGCCGATCGGGGCGGTAGGCGAAGGAGACGTTTTCAAATTTGATCTCGCCGCCTTTCGTGAGCTGGAGCGGTTTGGCGTCGGGCGCTTCGATGACGGCGACGTTGACTTTTTGGAGGTTGAAGAGGGTTTCCATGTCGAGGAGACTTTGTCGGAGTTCGCGGTATACGCTGCCGAGGAAGTTCAGTGGTACTGAGAGTTGGAAGACGAGCTGATTGACCATGACCAGGTCGCCGACTGTGAGATTGCCGGCAGCAACGCCTTGTGCAGCCATGTACATCATGCCGGTGAGTGCCGTGGAGAAGATGAGATTCTGACCCATGTTGAGGTATGCCAGCGACGTCGCGACTTTGATGCTTGCATCTTCGTAATTCTTCAGAGCGGAATCGTATCGTTTGGCCTCGTAGGCCTCGTTGTTGAAATATTTGACGGCTTCGTAATTGATCAAGCTGTCGACGGCCACGGTAGCGCCTTTGTTGTCAGCAGCGTTGGCTTGCTTGCGGAATTTCGTCCGCCATGCAGTGGTCGTGATTGTGAACCAGGAGTACGCCGACATGGTCCCGACAGTCAACAAGGCGAACTTCCAGCCGTATTGCCAGGTCAGAATACCGCAGACCAAGCTGATTTCCAGTGCTGTAGGAATGATGTGAAAGACCATGCTGGTGAGTAGAAAGCTGATACCCTTGGTCCCACGATCGATCGCGCGGGTCAGACCTCCTGTCTGCCGTGCTAGATGGAAGTTGAGGTCCAGCCTCAATAGATGCTCAAAGACATTACCCGCGACTCTGCGAATGGCTTTCTGTGCCACACTTGCGAAAACAGCATTCCGGATTTCTTGAAAAATGGTCGCTCCGATCCTGGTCAAACCATCTAGAGACACATCAGTATAATTCCATGTTTGCCATGATTTGTAGTGGACGTACATGCAAAGATCGCCGCACCAGCAACGGTCATGGCTGTTCCACCCGCAGCGACAAAGTCGATATTCATGGAATCCACTATATTTTTGAAATAAAAGGGTACTTGTACATTGAGAACCTGACAATTCAATGCCGTCAATATCACACATTTGGCAAGGTAACATGAGATTCTTCATACCTTTGCGCCGACCAACAAGCCAACGCTGAGTCCCACGCGGAATCGTGTGCTGAAGTCGTTCTTGGGCCAGAGATAATGCGCCATGTCACGGATGATGGCCCAGTCGGCCTGGCGTTGCATCTGATTCGATACGGTCTGCTCTGAGAGTAGAACATCGTTCTTTGCTGCTGCTGCTTTCTTGATCGCATCAGCCGGCGTGGTCGATTTGGGTGTCGTTGATGACACTGCCGCGGGAGTGGACGGCGCCCGCGCATCCTCTCGCCGTCGCAGCGCCGTCGTCGAGAATGTCCGTGGTCTCGTCCATGGCTTCGAACAGCGAACGTGTAATCCGAGCTGACTGGCGACGGGTCGGGTAGCAAGTATACACGATCGAATGCCGGCGGTGTGCGAGCAGCCTCGGCCAGCCAGCATTGCGCTCATGTCGGCTTAAATTTCATACGCTCCAGGGCTATTGCTGTCACCGGCGCGGGAGGAAGAGAGAGAGCGCAGAAGACTGCTGCATGTTCCCTTGCACATGCAACAATACGATCGTTCGGGAGCAAGATATGGCACCTGAATGGCAACTTAACTTAGATGAGACGAAATTATGTAAGATCGCGTGCTCGAGCAGCAGTTGGAAATGAGTAAGTGGAGAGTCCACCTTGCGGGCGCGCGCGCATTGACGGTTGAAATCACCTCACCACCCACCTGGGCAGGCAACCCCATGAAAAGGCAAACAGTCAAATTTTACTGGAGAAGTCCAATCGAAATCTGACCGTTTGGCTCGATCAACAATCATCCTGGGCAGGCGGGATTTGGCTTGCGTCATGGGTCTTCTGCGGCTCGGCGCGTGGGATTTTTGGACTGGGAGATGTGGAATTAGACCGCCGCTAGAAAGTTGGAAGCTCTTCTCAATGTGAACGTACTGGGCTGTATCGGAGGTCTTATGGTCTACAGTACTTCTATACGACCAATTCATTCATCCACCTTCACGTCCATATCCTTCTGTGCCCGAGTCAACCTTATCGTCGTCAACTGTCTCCTCACCGAGAGCGCGATTCGTCGATGAAGATGCGCCGCCAGGCGCTGCAGCAACTGTCTCTCTCCTGCCGACAATCGACACCGCGCCAGGTCGCCGGCGTTGTCTACCGGCGCCATGTTCAGATCAGCGCGACGCCATCGTCAACAGAGCCGCAACAGAGCTTAGAGTCGGCCTCAAGTCGCGCTCTGCCAGCTGGTGAGATTGGATGAAGAGAACGAGGTGATTCGGACACTTGAGCTGAGAGGTTTCCTTCAGATGCGCGCTTCGAAGTGCTCGGCGGTTCCTTCTCCCTCCTCTCCGCCAGCATATCCGCCTCGCAACATCTCTACACGCGCAAGGGCAGCCTCGTCGGCTTCAATGGCAAGCCGGACAATGTAAGCAAGAGATATATGATATACTGCCATGGATGCGCGACCATGCAACAATGGTCTGATATGAACCAAACCACAGGCTGTTTCCACGCTGTCACTCCTCGAGCCCTTTCGACGAGCCTTCCTCGGCATTCCATTCATCTACCAAAAGGTCTCTTCGACCACGCCATTCACCGCATTGATCGCGACCAAATCACCCATCACATCTCTCGTCGTCGTACATCTCGATGGAAGGCTAGACTGGATGGTCGCGCAGAGGAATTCGCTACTGGCGTGGACAGGACACACGCTCAACCTCGCGCCACGCTTCAACACCTCCATGGTAAGTCGAGCGGGCCATCTCCCCCTGCGCATTTGAGAACAATTCTGACATACAAATCACCAGAGCATCGCTCACTGGGGCAACACCCGCCTCACCGGCCGCGGCCTGGTCGCCCTCTCCGGCAAAGGCCTCATCCATCAGATCACGCTCAAGGCCGGCGAGGAATACGTCGTCCATCCCAGCAGCGTCATCGCCTACAGCATGATGCAGCATGCGCCCCAACCCTTCCGCTTCAAATCCTCCAGTCTGCGCCTGCAGATCCCCAATCCACTCTCCTGGCTGCCGGACACGCGGTTCTGGCGCACGATGCGCGAAGCCGCCGTCTGGCGCTTCCTCCGCGAGACGGCGTTCGCCCTGAGGACGTGGACGAGGAGGTCGATCTGGGGAGACAGGGTACGTTTTTCTTCCCCGACACATGCAACTTCCACCTCCCTCCTACGAACCATCACGCACCAAATCTTTTCGAAAATCAAATAAATGGATAAATCCACTGACATTCCTCTCAACGTGTAGCTCTTCCTCCACTTCCGCGGACCCGTCACCATCCTCGTCCAATCCCGCTCCGGCAACGCCCTCTCCGACAGCCTCACCACGCGCGACGTCAACGAGATCGCCGACGCGCCCGCCGGCGCCGTCCCGTCCGCCCTGACCATCTCGCCGTCCGACGCGCGGTTATCGGATCCCACGAGGACATCATCGACTTCTCTACCTCCGTCATCTTCCGCGTCGCCGACGAAGATGACTTTCGCGAGCGTGGGCGGGGACGGCAAGGTCGCTTTTGAGAAATCATGATCTTTGTCTTGTTTCCCTTTTCCTTTTTCTTTTATTTTTAGCCAACGAAGTCGGGGAAACAACGAGGGTAGGGGGTGTGATCGTAGGGAGATGTACGAGTATAGAGAAACCCAACGCGAGAGAAGAAGAAGCAGAAAAAACCTAAGTCCCACCTACCACCTACCCATTCAATCAATTATCCATTCTTTCTAACCGATTCCGCCGCGGATTCGAGCCTTCGTCCCGTCCATCATCGTCTCGGGACCACCGTCCTCGCATCGTCCGTGCAAAAGCCACCGAGCTTTTCAACGCCAGTTCTCAGCCGAAATCTATACGTGTAGAGGGAAAAATCCCGCATCGCCAACTCCCAACCATCCTCCCGGACGCACTCCGAAATAGCTCAAAAGGGAGATCCCGCGGAGTTTTTTTTCGCTGGACAGGCTCCCCTTCCTTTCGTTGCGCAAGCCAAAAAGCAAAGGAAAAGGAAGAAGAGAAAAGAAGAAAATGAAAAACAGGTACAGGAGGTAGGTAGGTAGGTAGGTAGGTGAAAAGGAGGATGGATAGCGAGAGACGGACGATCCTGGGGATTTTCGTGACTTCGAACTTGGGAGAGAATGAGACGTCCACCTTCACCACCTGCACCTTCACCACCTCTACCTTCACCACCGCGACCACCGCGACCACGACATACGTGCGACATACGTAGTAGGATCATGCGTACTACGAACTACGTGGTGGTCAGGGTGATGGGGGGAAGTAGATCTATCCGTCATCATCATCGTCATCATCATCGTCATCATCGTAATCTTTTGTAGAGGTATATATGTAGAAGTACAGGGAACAAAACCCAAAAGAAGAAGAATAGAAAAGGCAGCATTTCTCCCAGATGCCGACGCCGAAAACCCCAGCCAACGCCTCGCTTGTAGAACAAATTCCGGGGAAGGAGGCATGAAAAAAGGGGGTGAGGAAGTGGAAGAGAAGAGGAGGAAGAAGAGGAGAAGGAGAAGAGAGAAGATAGAAGGGAGGAGAAGAGGAGGAGGAAGGAGACCACCAGAGAGAGCAAAAGCGGGGCGCTGGACGCCGACGCCGACGAAGGGAGGCGAAAGGAGAATGGAGAATGACGCACACCCGGCCCTCCCGATCCCTAGTGTATGAAAATCGAAGATCAGAGTCGTTCGCTCGTCCGTCTGTCTATCCGGGGAGAAATCCCCGGTCTTTATCCATCCGCTGCGTCGCTCAGGGAGAGAAAGAGAGAGAGGGAGCGGCCTCAGAGCGTCTTCAGCGAGGAGATTTCTTCTTTCGCTCGTGCGGCGGTGAGCCGTTGCCGTTGCCGTTGGGGTTCGTCGGGTGCGGATTCGCGTCGGCGGTCCCGTTCACGACACCGGCACCATCGACTTTCGATGACGAGGAGGATGAGGAGGACGGAGGAAGGGATTTCCCCAGGGTCGTCGGATCCACCTCCTTCACATTCCTCCCGGGATTCCCCTCGCCATCCTCCACCTCACCGTCGTCCCCATCGAGCAGAACGAGAGGAGGCCCCCTGGCCGTAGCGTTCAACGCCTGGGCGACGATCTCGGGCTGGTTGTGGTTGTCCAGATTTTGCGAGTCGCGGATTTGTTGCTCGACGGCTTTCATCTGGGCACGCATCTGCGCCTGGGCCTGGGGTTTGCGGGCGAGTTCGGCGGGGGTGAGGTGGATTTCCGTGGCGGTGGTGGCGGTGGGGGTGGTGGGGCTGAGGGTGTGATTCTGTTGTTGATGGGGGAGGGGCTTGGGCCGGCGGAGCGGGGAGGAGGAGGAAGAGGAGGAGGAAGAGGAAGAAGCTGGTGGTTTTGCCCGAGGTGGGGTTGGAGTTGAGGAGGTCGAGGGTGGCGTTTGATCGGTGGCGTTGGAGGCGACGACGGAGTCGACGAGGTCGTCCGCCTCGGCCTGCAGGGTGGCGATGGGCGCGGATTCCTGGTGCAGGTAGGATTCGAGCATCTGCTTCAGGGTGTCGGCGCGGACGGGCTTGGCGAGGTAGTTGTTCATGCCGGCCTCGAGGCATTTCTCGCGGTCGCCGCGGATGGCGCTGGCCGTCATGGCGATGACGAGGACTTGGGCGACGCGGGGGTCGGGCGATTCACGGATCTCGCGGGTCGCGGTGTAGCCGTCCTGTTTTTTAACGAGGTTATATCAGCGGGTCTGAGGGAATGCTAGACGGGTCGGTGGGAGAGGAAAACAAACCTTGACAGGCATCTGACAGTCCATGAGGACGAGATGGAACGGTTCTCCGGCCGCGCTGGCACGGGTGAGAGCGTCGAGTGCCTGCTGGCCATCGCCGTACGCTTCACATCTGAACCCGAGGCGTTTGACCTGGGGATTTCCATGTCAGCAAACTTCATCCTCGATCCTCTTTCTCTGTCGATGCAGGGAAGAAGACTAGGGACAGGGACTTACGAAATTGATCGCGATCTTCTGATTGATGGGGTTGTCCTCGGCGATGCAGACCTTCAGCTGGTCTCTCCGGATGCCCTTGAGGTTGCCATTCGCTCTGTTGCCGTGCACGTCGTCGTTCGCGTGGGGCAGGCTGAACATGGCCATGGGGTCCGCCTCCCGACTCCCCGGGGTGGGGCCGTTCGACGCGAGGACGTCGCCGGGCGCGACCTTCTTGAACGGGACGCTGAAGGAGACGGTGGTGCCGACGTTCGGCTTGCTGCGCAGCCAGATGCTCCCGTTCATGATGTTCTCCAGGATGGCCTTGCAGATGGAGAGGCCGAGGCCGGTGCCGCCGTAGCTCCGGGCGGTGCTGGAGTCGGCCTGGGAGAAGGGGAGGAAGAGCTTCTTCTGCTGTTCGTCGGTGATGCCGATGCCGGTGTCGGCGACCTCGACGGTGATGGTGATGTTCTCGGCGTCCTCGGAGACGACGAAGCAGCGGACGGTGACGGTGCCCTGCTTGGTGAACTTGTACGCGTTCGACATGAGGTTCATCAGGATCTGGTGGAGGCGGACGGGGTCGCCCATGACGACGAGGTCGTCGGCGAGGTCGAGCTCCTGGACGGTTTCGAGGTTGCGTTCGATGTTGGTGTAGGAGAGGGCGCGGACGACCTCGCTGATGGTCTGGGTCAGGGACAAGGGCACGTAGAAGACCTGCATCTTTCCGGCCTCCAGCTTGGAAAAGTCCAGGATGTCGTTGATGACGCTGAGGAGGGTGTCGGCGCAGACGCGGATCGAGTCGGCGTGTTCCTCCTGTTCTTTGCTGAGGTGGGTCGACTTGAGCATCTCGGACATGCCGATGACCCCGTTCAGGGGGGTCCTCAGTTCATGCGAGACGTTGGCCAGGAACATGGACTTGGCCCGGGCGGCTTCCTCCTTGAGACGGACCATCTCCATGGCTTTGGCTTCGGCGGCCTTGGCTTTCTTCTCAGACTCTCGGGCCTGCGCGAGGGCCTGCTTCTGGACCTCGAGCATCGACGTGTTGCTGGCCTGGATCTTCTCCGAGCGCTTGAACAAGAGCGCATTGGCGATCGAGATGGCAATCTGATTGACCAACAGTTTAAGCAGCGTAAGAGTTCTCTCGGTGAAGGTGTTGGGCGGAGCCTCGCAGTACAGCGTCCCGAGAAGATCGTTGTCTCCGTGGAGGATCGGCAATGCGATGACGGATAACCCTTCGGGTCTGTGCTCGAGCCATGCTTCGGGGACATTGGAAAAACGTTCGTCCTCGAGGACATTCCGAACAAAGACCTCTTCTTTGAATCGCAACACGTACAGCATGATCTGCCGTGCGACGGTGTCCGCAAAGGTGTTGAGGGGGATGCCTTGCTCGGGGGTTTGGATCGCCTCCGCAGTGCCGATAGAGACGACGGACCACTCATTGCTGTCGTCCTCGACCACCAAGCCCACGGTGTCGGCACCAGTCGAGTCGATGATGATGCCAGTCAGCTTGGACAGCAGTTTCTCCACATTGAGCTCCGACGAAAGGAGTTGTGACGATTCCAGGATACCCGCCAAGTCGATGACATCCAAGCCCGCCGCGGAGGACAGCGCGGTCGGGATGTCTTTCGACTGCGCGTCGGCCGCCGACTTGGTCCGCGGCTGCAGCCACTCCGCGGTGCGGTCGGCGGGGGTGTCTGTCGCATGCTGATTCGTGATGTTCCTCAGGCTTTCCGTGTAGGAACGTCCGACTGCGATGTCGGCGGTGGTCTGCGTGCCGGCGTCGACGGCGGACTGATTGCGCTCCCCGTAGAAGAGCAAGAAGCTGTACTTCTCGGAGACCTGATCTGCTTTTCCGTGTGCCCCCAGCCGTCGATAGACCGTGATACACTCTTGCAGGATGCCCCGAGCGGGTCTGGTCGCGCCCCGGCGAACCAACCAGTCGGCGTAGAGCTCCAAGCTGAGGGCTTCGTCCATGCCTGATTCCTGAACGATCGCGTGGTTAACGGCGGCTTCATACGAGGCATGGACCTCGCCGTAGTTGAATTTGAGGTCCGCGGTTTCGGCGTCCAGCAGTTTCAGCCACACGAAATAGTTGACCGAGTTCACACTGGCGACCATTTCGATCCTCCCGCGATAATGGGACACTTTCTCGAGGAGATAATCCCGATCTTCCCGGTCGGGTCGTTCCCTGATGGACGCCAACGTGGCCATGGCGAGGAAGAAGAGCGTCGAGTAGACGTACCGCATGCAGAGCAGGTGGTCCACCTCAAACAGGATCTCCTCGCCAAACTCCATGGCCTCTTTGTAATGGCCGAAGCGATACATGATGGAGAGTCTGTAGCTGTTGTAAATGCTGAGGGGCCTCTCCGGGCTCGAGGCGGTCTCGTTGACGAATTTGACATAGTTCTCGCTCGAGTGGGATTCGTCGCTGAGGACGTCCGCCGCGTGCTTGGAGTAGGTCTTGCCGGCCATGGCTCGGAGGTACTGTCGGGCGCCGATGAGGAAGGGGCCACCCCGGAGATTCTGCTGCCACTCCGGAAACTCCTCCGTGGCCGATGCGATGTACGCCTCGATCTCCGCGACGTTTTCGGATGCCGACCAGAGTTTCCACGCGCAGACGATCCCGATGTTCACAAGATGCATGCCCTTGTCGCCGGCCGCGGCTGCGGATGACATCCCCTTCTCCAACGCCTCGAAGCTGTACTTCAACTCCTTTTGGATGTGACCGAGGTAGACCACGTATGTCACCAAACCGCGCCCGGCGGTATAGTGCTCGTCGGGGTATTGCTCGAAGATTTCGAGGGCGTTGTTGCCAAACTTCAGAGCAGCGTTGAGCATGTTGTATTTCCAGATGCAGAGCCCAGCCAGGTGGATGTAACCCAGACCGGCTTGAGGGAATGACCCGCGCTCCAGGTAGAGGTTCATGACGGTGAGGGTTGAGATGGTCCATAATCGCATGTCGGTCCAGAAGCAAGCCGACATGAGTTCCGTCAGTAGAGCCCCCAGGGACACGAGGGTCTTATCCGCGGGAAACTTCTTCTCCGCAGTCACGCTCGGCGGGTTGGACTCCAAGAGAGGGACGAGGCGCATGAACTCGGTATCGCATTCCTCCCATGACCAGTCGTACATTGTGACCCCCAGCGCTGCCATGGCGAACCGCAGCGACATGAACGCCTTTCGGCTGTCGCCCTGCTGACCGTACATCCGACTGCGGATGATCGCCGCCGGGGCTGAATCGATCGCATTACGAGCATGTCGAAAGACGTCCTCGAGCAATGCGGCCGCTTCCTCGGCCTGGCCGGTATGCGAGTAAGCCTCCGCGGCGCGGGTCTTGATCGTGATCACCTCGGAGTATGTCGCCTTGCCGGTGGAGTCGTCCCAGGGGTCCTCGGGGAGCAGTAAGAGACAGTGACGGAAATAGTACAGGCCGGAGCTTCTGGCGCCGGACTCTCGCGCCGTCTCGGCGGCCTGATAGAGGACCTCGCGGAAGGCGAACTTGGTGTCTTCGCGGCGCTGGACCGCGGCGATGCCCTCGCAGATGTGGCGCGCCTGTTCGAACAGGACGGTACTGGGGTCTTTGACGGGATCGTAGGGGTCATGGCGCATCATGGAGCTGGCGAGCATGTAATGCATCTCGTCCTTTTGGTGACGACTCAGGGCGAGCGCATCGGCCGCGGTGAGATAGCGGTCGTGGGAGAAGCGGAAGATTTCTTCCTCCTCGGTGGGCATGACGATGTAGGAAGCGAGCGCGACGGAGAGGCCGGTCACGGCGTCCTTCGACACGGGCGGGACCAGCGGTTGGGGGACCAATTCCGAACACTTGCAGCTCATCACGCGTTTGATTGTGCGGAAGCTGAAGGTGTTGCCCATGATCGCTGCCCATGAAAGCACAGTCTGCGCGTCCACGGGTAATTTCTCCATCCGCCGGATGATGAAGTCGTGCGACGAATACTGCCCGTCCCCAGGACTGGAGAAGGTTTTGAAGAGCTTATCGATCGAGAATTCGAAAGATCGGCATTTCCAGCAATAGAAGATACATCCTGTCTTGTACGCGGAGTCCAGCATCTCCCGCACGAAGAACGGGTTGCCTTGACTTCGTTCCTGGATGACGGCGACGAGCGGGAGGCAATAGTCCTTTTCCCGGTGCAAGGTATCCGAAACGTATTGCGCGGTGTCCTCTTCGGAGAACGGCTTGACTTCGATGGTGGTCGCCCGTTCCAGGAGCTTTCTCACATGGGGAGCCAACGTCTCATCGCCGCGATGGGTGAGGATCAACGCGATGGGGATGTGCGCTCGAACGATGAGTTCGATCAATTCCAAGCTCTCGGCATCTGCGAATTGCAAGTCGTCCACACACAAGCAGACGAACTTTTGCAATGCGAGCAAGCGCAGGACGTCGAGGTAGATGTGTAGGAACCGCGAGGTCTTGTTGCCGCCGCCCGTCCGCAGCCATTCTTGCGACGCATTGAGATTGCACGTCCGGCGCTCTTGATTGACAAGCGTCGGAGTCGCCTGGCGGGAACCGGAAGTCTCTGACAGGGTGCTCCCGTTCGTGACGGGCGACAGCAACCAGAGCGGAAGTTCCAGATAGGCAGAGAGCACATTCCATACCGGTCGGATCATGACTCGCAGGTTGTCGTGGAATTGGGTGTTGACGTCGTTCTCGGAGAAGATCTGCCGGAAGAGGGCGGCCATGATTTTCAACATCGGATCAAACGGGGCATTCTTGACCTGGTCGAATTTGGCAGAAGTGAAATACCCGTATTTCCGTGCGGTGCCTTGGATGTGTTGAACCAGAGTGGACTTGCCGCAACCAGCAGAGCCGCACAGCACGATCAATTCCGTCTTGCCCTTCCGCTTGAGCTTTTGTGCCGTCCGGAGATATGAGTTGTTCTCCGTGCTGATCTGACTGGTGAGGTTTGACCTCTGTCCGCTTTCGGTGTGATTGACAGAACCAGTGGTGGAATAACCTTCGATGGCCTTGGCATCGCCCTCGTCGATCGCAGACGTGGCGGACGAGGCGATGCTACCCTTCCGTCCCGACCGCCCGGACTTGTCGGACCCGGCCTTGTTGGGCTTTGGGAGATCGATCGGTGCGATCATCTCGGGGATGCTATTCAGCCGGGCCCGGTTCTCGCGATCTGTGGATGACGTACTATCGCTCATCATCTCTTCCAGGAGCGAGAGGTCCGGGCGCTCGCCGGACAGGATCGATGATCCCGAACTGAGGCTGTACAGGCCCTTCCTGCTGACGGGTGCGGCGCGAGCAGATCGCCTCGCCGCTTTGTCGATGATGCCGACGATGGTAGCCAATTGCTCCTGTCTGCCGACAAGATGTGATGGGAGATTGAAGAAACACGAGGCATCACTCGAGGCAACGACGAAGGTGTCAAGTCCGGCTTGATCCCCTCCCTCGAGGATGCGCTTCAACGCGGTCACGTCCGACTTGACCGCCGCGATGGAGTTGTACCGGTCGTCCATGTTCCGTTGGGTCATCTTCTGGATCACTCGTGACAGCGCATCGGGGACGTCTGGCCGCAGGCTGGAGACCGGAGGTAGGCGACGGGACAATTTGCTCTGCATGATATCCAGGGGAGATTTGCCCTCGAAGGCGGGCTGTGCGGTCAAGATGGTCCAGAACAAGATACCGAGGGAATATATGTCTGTCCGCGCATCGGGCTCCGCCGGCAGTCGTCCCGTCTGCTCTGGCGCGATGAACTGTAGCCGCTGTTCGACTCCCCTCTCCGCCGAGACCCTCGCCCAATTCGCCGAGCTGAGCCCATGTTCGAAACTCCTGACGCCGGAGCCGAAATTTATCATGCGCACCACGTTCGTCTCTTTGTTAAAGTGAAAGGCATCGGCTCGGATCTCTCCGTGGACCAGGTCGTGTTCGTGGTGGAGGCATTCCAGGATCTCTGCACTGGCTCGTGCGAAGTTGAGAAATTCCAGGAGCTCGATCTTGTTCTGCTTCGGCCGTGGAGGGTCGTCGTCTCGCGTCGTGTACACATTGGGGCCGAATTCGACCACCTCTTTGAGATAGTTGCGCCCGGGCGCTTCGAAGACAAAGGCGGACAGGGGGAGGTCTCCTTGTCGACGGACCGGCATGCGCACAAAGTCCAGCGGCCTGACAAAGAACTTCTGCTCCGGGGTTGCGGATGTGAAGAGGGTCTGGCAGACCTTGTACTCCCGCTCCAGGCGCAGCTGCTGCACGCTCAATCGCGCGACCACCCACACCTCCGGCTCCTTCTCCTCGTCGGTGACATCGGATTGGGTGCGCACACTGGCCGGGCGCGAGGTGGCGGCCGACGACGGCGTCACCTTCCGCGTGTCGCCTTTCCGTCGGCTCGGCCTCTTGCGCCCATAGAAGTGCCAGTTGTCATAGCTGGAATGTACCGGACTGATGTCGCCGTCGAAATCGTAAGCGGGGAGATCGTCGGCGAGTCGCTCGTAGAGTCGTTTGAAGGCTGAATTCTCTGGTGTGGAAGGCATCATTTCTTATTGTCCTTTCCACATGACCACGTGCGGTGGAATGTCACTGCGTAAGCCCGTCCAACTCTCTTCTGTCTCGATGATGGTGGGAGAAGCGTCATGCCGCGGCCATCTCTCGTCTGGGCTAGGTCGAAGTGCGAGGATCCGGACTCGGGGATGTGTCAGCGACGCGACGCGGGTGGTGCAAGTCGTACGTATGTCGGTGGTGATGATGATGATGATGATGATGATGCGGGCAGGACGGTAAAGGTCAAGGGACTGCGAGCGAAAGGGTAACGGTGTGGCGAACGTCCGAGCCGAACCGGGTGGACGTTTTTGCGTGTCTTTTCCCTCGTCGATGCATGCGAATTGGGATTCCAAACGGTGGTGGTAGTTTGGTGGTGGTGGTTCGTCCAGCCGGTAGCGGGTAAAGCGATCGTCGTCGTCGTGAACGGCTACCTAACATCCGTCCTAGCGTCGGTGGTGGTGACGGCGAGTTAGGTACTTTTCTTGGTACAGTATATTATTATTATTTTTATTACTGTACGTGCTATACAACTCCCTAGGACATCTAGACTCGTGACTCCCTATCCCTCTCCCTATCCCCTCTCCCTATCCCCTCTCCTGGAGTCTATAAACATCCAGCACGCAAATGGTCCTGATCGCGGTTGACGGTGAATTCCTCTCCTCTCCTCTGCGGTGCGGTGCGGTAGCTGGGATGAGGTCATCAAGCCATCTGAACCATCTACCGTACAGTACGATCTCTCGCGCATGGATGGCAAACCGCAAACCGCACACCGCAAGCCACCTCCTGCACCTGCACCTGGGCATACGGAACGAGATGTGCGACTGCCACCTGTCTCCAGTGTACAGTATACAGTATACAGTATACGGTCTGTTCCCTCCTCGCGTACAGACAGACTGTCGCCGGTCTTGTCGCCCAACATCGTCGCTGGGCGCGGAGCGCTATGCTGTGGTTTATGGTATGATCTTTCCATTATTCTCAGTCATCTAGTACGTTGCCATTCTCCGTCCCTCTCCGTATATCATTCACAGTACGAACGTTCTATGAAAGGGCATGGCGGACTGGTGGGAATGGATGATATCATGGGTCCCCTCCATTTCCCTCCTTCGTCTATGGATTGCGCCTGCAGTAGGGTTGGCTTTTCCTCCGACGCCATGTCACCGGAAGAGCAGCCCCCAATCCCACACGCCGGCGGGGATCTGGCTCCGATGGGGAACGAACGTTCTTTCGGTTGATGATGCTCGTCTCTTTATCAGTACAGCCGAAGTCGATCATGGGATGATAGATCTCGGAGATGTGTTGATCAGATACTGGGAAAAGAAAAGCGTGGGAATTATTACCTGAGTTCGGTGACGTGATATCCACATACTGTATGTACGAGACTCCTCCCGCGCAGACACCTCAATTTCGAGCTGGATTGACTGTCCGAACCCGTTCCAACGGGATGCCTCCTGACGATGGCGGTAGGACGGTCCCCATGCAGAAACGTCTAGGGAAGGGACCAGGGGGACAGTGATGGGTGATAATCAATCGATGATCAATGATATTAACCGCAGAAGGGAATGTGGTTCGGCGCTGAAACCTCAACAGTCAAGCCACCAGCAGCAGCAGCAGCAGCATACACTGTATGTACAGTTATCATATTACCAAGGCAGTGCAGTGCGGACATGATGACTAAGACTGCAGGACTCCTCCAGGGCTGGGCTGGGCTGTACCGGTGCATACCTACCGACCTAACCTAGGTATTGCTGGTCGAGTGTGGAATTCGCCCTGCCTGCCTGCCTGACTGACTGACTGGTTGATTCACTCGAGATGTCTCCCTCCACGATGAGAGTTGCCCGGTAGATAAGACGCCGTTCTGTACCTCGTGGAATATAATATACGCATGCATAGTCAAAGGCGAAATGGCAGATTGTGAGGCGCCCAGGTGGTGGTGGTGATGGTGGTGGTGGTGGTTCAGATCATCAAGATGCAATACAGCCGAAGATGACCCTGGGAAATTTATGGAGACCACCTCCAGGCTGCCTATTGCCTATATATGCTGAGTTCATATGTGTGTGGGGTATCGTGTCGTGTCGTGTCATTGCCCAGTCCAGTCCAGTCCAGCCGATCTGCACCAGCAAATACAGTAATACAGTAATTATAAGCCCTGTGGTGAATCGCGGACAGCCTCATTATTAACCACTGCCTACCATTGCAGCCCAGCGGCATAGAAAGTTCCTACACCTCACCTGTTCCATCATCTCGTTTGGACCCATCATCAGCAGCAGCGTGACGTGGCGTGTGACGATACCGACATTCCTTCGCCCGCATACACAAAACCGTCGTCGTCTGGAGAAGAACCACCACCAACTGCCGTTCCACCGTCGTTCTCGTCCCCGAACCCTCTGACGTTTGCCCGCCGCCGCCGCCGCGTCTCCCGCACTCCAAGGTTGTGTCAGTCGACCTCCCGCTGGACACAATTGGCCACGTGACAATCTCGAGGGATGCCAAACCGCACCCGTATCCATTCCACACTCAGATGAACCTTTCAAAGTGGCAATGAGTGCTGTCGGAGGTCATCCTGCCACTCCCACCGCCACTCTACGGGACACACAAGAGGAGGTCGATGAGGAAGAGAACAACCACCACCACAATGACGATCCCATCTCACATCAGTACAAACCGCCGGCATTGCCTGCAGATCTACCACGCTCCCTAGACGACCGGATGTCTTTCCCAGGTCACCACCAAGAGACCGAGTACTACGATGCCTGGCAAGGACAATCCCAATTCTTGACGGCACCCACGAGTGCAAAGCCCCTCACATTCAACCTGGCCCTCAATGAACCGGACGACGATGGCGCCTTCGGGCAAGGGTTCGGCAACGATGAGGCACGGATGGCGGAGATGCTCGCAGGCTCCACGTCGAAGGTGGGAGACGCTGGGGAACTCGAGGAGGAGGCGATTCTGAATGACGAACAATTGTCCAGCGAGGAAAAGACAAAGTCTCTACAGGATTTCCTGTTCATGGCCGCATCGAACGGAGACGCGAGGAGGGTACAGAGGCTGGTCAGAGGCGCTGCGTCCAATCTCATCCGCATAGACGAGGTCGACGCGGAAGGGACGCCGCCGTTGGTCTACGCCAGTTGCTTCGGGCATCGGGAAGTCGTGCTCTCACTGCTCAACGCAGGCGCTACGGTGGACAGCCAAGATCGGAACCAATGGACGGCGCTGATGTGGGCGATCACAAACCGTCACAAGGACATCGCCAAAATCCTCCTCGATCACGGCGCCTCCACCGACATCAAATCGTCGAGCGGTAGGACCGCTCTCGACTTTGCCCCTCCGAACAGCGAGATCTCCGACTTTCTCCAACATAGTGGATATTCCATCGGCAGCGCCGGCGTGACCGACGACTTTTACACATCGGGATTCTCGCAGGATCGATTCGAGGAGGAATTGGCCGAGAGTGAAATGCGAAGGCGCATGATGATGGAAAGCGCGATCAACCTCGAAGTCGATCTTGGAAACCTCGGATTGGACGAACAGCCCGAATCTCCCGACGAAATCGAAGAAGGTCAAGAATTCGTCTGGGATCGGTGCTTGAACGATCAAATGTTCGTCTTTATGGAGAGCGACATCGAACGGATACTGGATGTGGTCGTGACCAACATGACCCCACAACGCTCCGCTTCACAGAAACCCGTCCCAGCGAATATCATCTTCCTCGGTGCCCGCTACGCCCACTACCACGCAAACGCCGAACTGCTGGCGGAATGGTTGGAAATGTCACAGGATAAGATTTATGCGGTGGTCGATCGCCACCAATGGGACATGACGATTCTCGCGTTTTGGGTGTCGAACGCGACTCTGCTGCTGTACTACCTCAAAAAGGACGCCGGACTCGCGGAAGTCACGACGCAATTCCAAGCGCAAATGGCCGAGCTGTTGCATGAAATATACATCCTCATCATCCGTGATGCGGAGAGGCGAATGGATAAGGTCTTGGACACGGCGATGCTCGATCACGAGACCATCCCCGGATTCGAGGACATTCACTTCCAGAACGAATGGAAATTCCTCCGGACGAAGAAGACCGTCAAGCCGGAACCGGTGGACAAGCGCTTCCGACCACCCTCCCCTCGACGGAAAGCCCAGACATCGCCTCGAAACATCACCTCCCTCCTCTCGTCGACGCTGTTCGTCCAAGACCTGTACGACGTCCACCCCGTCATCACCGCACAGATCCTCTCCCAGCTATACTACTGGCTGGGCGCCGAGATCTTCAACCGCATCATGTCCAACAAACGCTACCTGGCGCGCACCAAGGCCATGCAGATCCGCATGAACATCTCCATGCTCGAGGACTGGGCGCGCACCAACAACCGGCTGCCGGAGCAGTACGAGAACGGCTCGATCGCGCCCTCGGGCGAGGCCACCATCGACGCGGCCCGCCGCCACCTCGCCCCGGTGGTGCAGCTCCTCCAATGGCTGCAGTGCTTCTCCTCGCTGGGCGAGGACCGCGAGGCGATGGAGACCACCCTCCAACAGCTCCCCTCGCTCTCCACGAAACAGCTCCTCCACGCCGTCAAACACTACCGCGCCGAGGTGGGCGAGAAATCCCTCACGCGGCCCGCCTCGCGCCACATCCAGGAGGTCAAGAGCCGACCGCGCGTGACCTCCAACGCCTCGCACTCGAGCGGCCACAACCACAGCCACAACAGCAACGATGCCACACAACCCTCCACCTCCCGGCCCCCCTCCTCCCTCATCGACGCCAACCACCCCCTCACCTCCCCGGCCCCCAACCCCCCCACGCAACCCTCCGCCTCCGACCAAGACGCCGACCTGCCGGAGACGAACCTCATGAACCCGGCGCTGCTCCTGCCCTTCCACCTGCCCACCTCGACGGACATGCTGGTCAGCTACGGCGCGGGCTTCGGCGGCGTGAACAAGGAGCGCGAGCGCCGCTACATCCCCTCGGTGCCGCCCGAGTTTTTGAGTAAGCTGGACCCCGGCGCCGGGAACCGCCATTTCGTCAACGGCATCTACGACGCGGAGCGGTTCAGCGATAGCTCTTGAGGGGTTTTCGGTGGGAGGAGGGGAGATGGAGAGACGGAGATGGAGCAGAGGAGATGAGATGAGAGAAAAATGGGAGGAAAATGGGAGGAAAGCGTCTAGAGAAAATGAAAATTCTCTTCTTCTTCGTCTTCATCATCATCGTCGTCGTCGTCGTCGTCATTGCTATTGCCATGTTTGATTCGAGGAATGGACCACCAACGACGTGGAAAGTCGGTCGTCCTCTTCTCCTTATTCTTCTTCTTCCTCCTCCCCGGATATATGACAGCAACTCGTTTTCCGTCTCCATCCTACTCCTGGCCTTACCTTCGCGCCTTCCATCCTCTTTCCCTTTTATTAATCCAACGCGCCTCTTATACGAATTTTTCTGTCCTGATGCTACATTTGCCATCCTCCCCTAAGACGGACGTGACTCTGCTTTTAACATGGAGAGAGAGAGAGGAGAGGAAAGGAGGAGAGGAAAGGAGGAGAGACAGGAGGGGAGAGATGTGTGCTTAGGGTTGTCTCGACCCTAAGCTCGCCCTCCTCCAGCTCCAGCCGCAACTGATGACTGATCATGGATTACAAATCTTTGGTTCTCTTCTCCTTTGCACCAGAGGGGTTTTTCGGTTTGTTCTGAAATACGATGTTCCCCTGTGTCAATATTAGTCCAAGAACATATTCACGGGTTTCGAGCGATATAATCGCTGCTTCGGCACGGTGTATTCACGTACTTGATTGTTACTTTACGTCGATGTCGGACCGGCTGTCCGAAAGAGGGCCGCCGCCGCATACACAGTCCCAATGGATGGCATTTCTTGCCCCTCCTCACTCTCTCGATAACGACATGGAAAGTATCGTCTTTTTGGCCGCTTTCAATAGACCGCGATAAACACCACCTCAGCGGCGGTCAGTCATATACAACAGTCTCACATTCGCTATCGTCGATTCGTCTATGCATTGAGCGCGGTCGTTTTTGCGTGCGGAAAAGTTCGGAACACGCGTTGTTTCCTCTCCTCTTCTTTCGCTCGCTGGTGGAACAAATTAATGCAGTCGGTCTGGTGTTCAGTCGCTCGCTGGGATTGTTTGTTAAAAAACGCCACATTTCTCTCCATATAAGATCCGGACATCACGATGGCTGCCAAACAAGTAAATGACGCGGAGACCGCGGACATCTCACCGGAACAAGAATCAATTCAAAGCGACTCGGACTTGGTCATCTTCGCATCATCTCGAGCAGTGGTAGAAGGACGCCTCACTCCTGCGACCATCATCATCTCCAAAGCCACCGGCAAAATCACAGCGATCCACGATTCCGTCCTCGGGCGGACTTCATTCCCGGCCGACGCCACATACAACGACTACACCCCCCACGTCTTACTCCCGGGTCTCGTCGACGCCCACGTCCATCTCAACGAGCCCGGCCGGACGGAGTGGGAAGGTTTCTACACGGGCACCCAAGCAGCCGCATTCGGCGGCGTCACGACCGTCATCGATATGCCGCTGAATGCCATCCCGCCGACCACGACGATGCAAGGCCTCAAGGAGAAAGTCGCGGCCGCCCAGGGGAAGTGTTGGGTCGATGTAGGCTTCTATGGCGGCATCATCCCGGGGAACGCAGCGGAGTTGAAACCGCTCGTGAGGGCCGGCGTGCGAGGTTTCAAGGGGTTCCTCATCGACAGCGGCGTCGAGGAGTTCCCGGCCGTCTCCGCAGAGGACATCACCAAGGTCTTCGGGGAGTTGGCGGACGAGCCGACGACGGTCATGTTCCACGCCGAGATGATCCCGCCCATCACGCAGTCCGTCGGCGACGACGTCCAGACCTCCCGGCCGCCCGCGCAACCCTCGGGCCCGTTGGAGAAATACCAAACGTTCCTCGACTCGCGCCCGGCCGCCTTCGAGACCTGCGCCATCTCCCAGATCGTCCACCTCGCGCCCCTGGCGCCGGACCTCCCCTTGCACATCGTCCACCTCTCCGCCGTGGAGGCCATCCCCATCCTCCGCGACGCGCGCGCGAGAGGCATCAGGATCACCGCCGAGACGTGCTTCCACTACCTCAGCCTGGCCGCCGAGGACGTCCCCGACGGCGACACGCGACACAAATGCTGCCCGCCCATCCGCTCCGAATCGAACCAGGAGGGCCTGTGGAGGGAACTCCTCGCCGGGGAGGAGGGAGGCGGTGTGATTTCGACGGTCGTCTCGGACCATTCGCCCTGCACGCCGGACCTCAAGCTTTTACCTGCACATGTCCCCGGCGCCGTGGTCGCGAGCAGCAGCAGCGGCGGCGGCGGCAAGACAGCGGCGTCATCCTGCGGTGCGAAGAAGGACGATAAGACGGGAGACTTCTTCGGCGCCTGGGGAGGGATTAGTTCCGTCGGCCTGGGGCTCAGCATTCTCTGGACGGAGTCCCAGCGCCGCCATCTCGAGGGATCCAAGACGCTGCTGGACATCGCCCGGTGGTGCTGCAAGAACACGGCCTCCCAGGTCGGACTGGAGGGCCGCAAGGGCGAACTCCGAGTCGGGCTGGACGGCGATGTCTGCGTCTTCGACCCCGAGGCCTCCTTCGTCGTCGAGCCGCACACCATGCTGTTCAGGAACAAATGCTCGCCGTACGAGGGGAGGCTGCTGAAGGGTGTCGCGGTCGAGACTTGGTTGAGGGGCAGGAGGATTCATTCTCGATCGGGGGGATTCGGGGACGGGACGGTGCCGACGGGGGAGTTGTTGCTTGAGCCGAGGAGGAAGCCTTCTCCTTCTTGAATTGCGATTCGTTTCGCCCATGTAGTAATCTCATCGGGATACATTTTGTTTACACTTTTCCTGTCGGGAGACTTATGGGGAGTTGTTTCGTACATGGATCATGATAGGAGGGGCGCAAAATCATGGACGTTGGATTTCTGCGGCGCGCATTTCGCCCGGCTGCTTTCTTCCCATGGGATCCCCTCACAGGACCCTTTCAGTAGATGATCCAATGCATTTCCCGCGCACCGGACGTCGTGCTCCGACATGTAGTCCAATATGTACTGTGTTTGCATTATAAATACAGCACGCTGACGTTTGCTGACACACGCAGCCGCACCGCTTTCCGCTTCCCTCTTTGACCCTTGGGTGAGAGCGAGAGAGAGGCGAGAATTCGCTCAAAGCTGGGGGCGATTGCGTGATGGTGGAATTTCTTGGTAATCCACCATCTCGTCATGCGCACGACACGACACGACACGACACGCGGCGGGCGATAAACCCCCAGAGATAACCCGATATGATGATTGATTGTAGTTCGGAGACTCCTCCTTGTCCTCGTTCGTGGGGATTTAACGATCGTGAAATGCGACTGCGGAAAGATGAGAAGAGATGAAAACGTGTTTCGCAACAAGCCGACGTTCATCATCATCATCATCATCATCAAGAAATCCGAAAGCAAGGCTGTTCATTCAACGCGAGCGACGACGAGACTGATTTTGGCCCTGCTGCCGGACGGGAATCGCCACGATTAACCATCAAGATACCACACGAGCGGAGAATTCCCATATATTCCTCCTCCCGGTAAGGTGTCGAAAGGAAAAAAAATCGAATCGAGGATTCGACAAGAAAGGTTGCAGAAATGTCCGATTCCGAAGGCAGTCGATCACCGCTGCTGTCCTCGAGCTCGATAGCCTCCAAGACCAGCTACAACTCCATCGCCCGAGAAGCCGCTCCACGACACTCCGCTCCCGACGGAGATGTCGTCCACCGACCCCACGACGTCGACGACGACGTCGTCCCGGAGACCAGCGCCATCGGCCGCACCATCACATGGCCGAGCGCGTACATCCTCACCATCTCCCGCGTGCTGGGCAGCGGCATCTTCGCCACGCCAGGCGTGATCCTCGCGTCGGTGGGATCGCCCGGCCTGGCGCTGACGCTGTGGGCGGTCGGCGCGGTCGTGGCGTATTTCGGGCTGGCGGTGTCGTTGGAATACGGCAGCATGCTGCCTCGATCGGGCGGCGAGAAGGTCTATCTCGAATACACCTACCGGAGGCCGAGATACCTCATCAGCGTCCTGATCGCCTTTCAGGCCATCCTTTTGGGCTTCACCGCGAGTAATTGTATTGTGTTTGCGAGGTATTTGCTCTTCGGGCTGGGGTTTCGGGACGATTCCTTCACGCATAAATCGATCGCGGTTGCATTGCTTACGGCCATCACGCTGGTTCATGTCTGTTTCATGAAGACGGGGATTTTCATTCAGAACGTTCTCGGATGGATCAAGATTGGTTTGATCGTGTTCATGATCTCGGTGGCGCCCGTCGCCGTCTTCTGGCATACTTCAAGGGAGGACTACACTCCGAGCCATGTCATGCCGACTAACCACAGCGAATTGAACTGGACCTGGGAGGGGCTTTGGGTCGGTACCATCTGGTCCTGGGGCACCATCGCGACGTCCTTCCTCAAGGTCTACTACTCCTACGTCGGCCTCAACAACCTCAACAACGTCCTCAACGAGGTCAAAGACCCCATCCGCACCCTCAAGTCCGTGACGCGAGCGGCCCTCCTCACCGTCACCGCCATGTACCTCTTCGCCAACGTCGCCTTCCTGACCGTCGTGCCCCTCGACGAGGTCAAGACCAGCGGCGAACTCATCGCGGCCCTCTTCTTCCAGCGGGTCTTCGGCGCCACCGTCGGCCGACGCATCCTGCCCATCATGGTCGCCCTGAGCGCCGCCGGAAACGTCATGGTCGTCACCTTCGCCCTCGCCCGCGTCAACCAGGAAATCGGCCGCACCGGCCTCCTGCCTTTCTCCCGGATCCTCTCGTCCACCGCGCCGTTCGGCTCACCTCTCGGCGGGCTGGTTTTGCACTACATCCCATCATTGCTGGTTATCACCATTCCGAGCGGCGATGTCTACTCGTTCATCCTCGAGGTGGAGGGCTACCCCGCACAGATCTACTCCCTCGCCATCGCCGCTGGATTGCTGTGGCTGCGGTATAAGAGGCCGGACGTGGAGCGGCCGTATAAGGCATGGATCCCGGGCATCGTCCTCCGCATCGTCCTGGCCATCGCGCTACTCCTCGCTCCGTTCTTCCCCAGCTCTGCTCAGAAGGCGGGAGACTTCCTCAACGGTGCTTCTTATGCCCTCGTCGGCACTGGCATGTAAGTTCTTTGGGGATTTTTCTCGATTCCAGATGTGCTCCATCCTCACCTGTATGATGCTGACGGAATAATGTAGCATGCTTTCGGGCGTCATTTATTGGTATGTATGGTCGATTGTCCTGCCGAAATGGTATGGGTATAGATTGGAGAATCGCACGGAGGTGTTGAAGGACGGGACCAGTGTTACCAAGATCGTCCATGTGCCTGCTACTTGATCCAGCTTGACGAAAACTTTTGTGTTATTAGACCCTCCCATAGATCACGCTTCATTCTATTCGTGGTTGTGATGAACCATGATACTTCTTCATGGACCCATGTTCTCGTTGTCGGAGACAGTGGCATCTGCGCGCGTCTTTTGCGAAAGTTGGTGTGCCATTCCTAACAAATTCGTCTATCGTCGCCCGCTCCCGGTAGCATCCTGTTCCCACAGCGGGCGTAATCTCAAGCGAGCGACTTCACTCCACCAGCTGTATGATGCTCGCGGATCGCGGGATGGCGAAAGACCTGCGGGCAGAAACACGACCAGACGATCACGACGTGGGTTTCGAGAGTCATTACAAGTATAACCAGCAGGATTTCACAACGCCCACGACACAAGCACCAATGCCGATGGCTTCTGTCTGAGCCATACGCGAATACTGTACTGTACATGTACGGGAATTCGCTATCTGTGAGAAAGAGCATGAAGCCCACGTCGGGTGATGTGCGAGCGCGCGCCCAATGAGCACGTGATGTTTCGTTTGAAATGCCTACACGCGACCATCTTGAGACTGAGGACGCCACGACCGATGAGACATGATATTCACAGAAGATACGAAGTCATCACCACGACATGCTGGATATACACGAGATGGTCAAATCATGAGACGACGCCTCTTATCGCGCCACCGGCCGGCTGGGTGATGAACCATCAAAACCTCGCATATGAGCCGAAGCGGGAAGGAAACATCATCAATCAGCCACCCATTTTCCGCCCGCAGATCTCCTGTGCATCATCGAGAGAAACGCGCCAGTCTCACGATCCGGCGAGGACAATGCCACCGGAATGGAAACGAGCGGGTTGATTATTATATGCAGGCTTGAATAGCATGCTGGACATTTCCTCGCATGGGAAAAGATCGCCCAGCGCAAGAGTGTCGTCTGTGCATCGTGCGTGCATATTCTACATCGGTGCAAGGGCGAAGGAAAAACAGCAGCGGCACGAGCTCTCAACGCGGACGAAGAAGCAATGCTCCGGGATTAACTAGTATCTTATGCACGGATCGCCGACTTCAGCAGTGATGCAAGCCGAGAAATTGATGGGCGAGAAAGAAGACATGCACTTCGCTCTTCATCGTGCGTCTCCTGCATGCAACGAGGCACGAGGTCCGGACGGCGTCGGACCAGATGCCTATATCCGTGTTCTCTGTCTATCGACGTCCAGTCGATCATGTTGAAGAAAGTTGGAATCACAACACGTTCGCTTCATGGTGATGGACGAGATGGACCACCAAAATGACCGTGACTCGAGGGCAAATCACGACCCTCAGCCCGCACTAAACCTCAAAACCGTTAGAATCGAGAGGACGTTTTACCCTGATCGTGAGCCGAGGAATATTTGGCTTCGGCGCCATCGTTCGGCGTCGGCCGCCCGCACGAGGGAACCATTCCATCCGTCTCGTCTTTTTTTGCCATCCATCCTCGCTTCGTTTCGCATTTCGGGACTTCGACTCCACTTGATGATGCATGACGATATCCAGTATTTGCCCGATTTCTCTCTTGGGCTCGCTGTGATCTGATCACGCGCCTTGAAGCAGAAAAGGTCTCACGATCAATTCACAGCAGCGATCATGAAGCTTTCTCTTGTGGAACAAAGTGGTGTGAGATTTACATGATGTGGAGATCATGCCATTTCTCCACACGCATACCCCCAATGTCCCCACACGACCAATTGCGAAAAGGAACGAAGCCACAGAAGCCACAGCAGCCTTTCACGAGCCAATTCGAGTGATCTACATCGCTTGTACACTTGGGAACATATAACGACTGATAGTCGCATGCATCTAACTTATGCGCGTGCATGCACGGACCCCGTCCAGCAGAGAAACGAGCTCCACTTGCACACTGCGCGAGCTCAATGATCCCGGTGGAAGGGCATGCGATTGGCGACAGCTTTGATGGCTCGAGTTCCATCCATCTCTGCATTCTTTCCATGATGAGATACCGCACGTCTCCCTCGCCGTCGGCATTGCTAACAGGCGATGCTCCAAGCGGGAAGGAAGCAGGTTGACCTTCCTGCATATCGGTCTGTCGATCCGCGAATCGCGTTTTTTTATACAATGGTACATATACCCATGCGCTCTGCTCGCTCTCCAGTCACATGTATATAGCATCCTTGCGCCCAATCTCACATCCATCTTCACATACTCCCGATCCCGCCTTCCCTCGTGCTCTATTCTTTCCCGCGAGGCTGCTGTCCACAAACGACTGTGAAAGGATCAACACCCTCCTCATCCTCTCCTATCCTACAAGAGCAGCAGCTGGGACAACGGCAAAAGGAAAGCTAGCTAGCTAGCCCAGCTTACCACGAAAGGATAGCAGAGGCCAATGAACGCCCTCAAGGAATTCGCAGGTCGCGTCAAGGCCATCATGGCGGCCGCAAAATCTCCCGCTCCAATGGATGCGGAACTTGGTGCTGGAGCGGGAGGCCGACGACGGGACTCCGTCGACACGCAGACAACTCGCGGCCACGGTCACGGCGGCCAACCGTCACAGTATCTGAGTGATTACATCACCCCGGCGCCGGGGCTCCAGCAGTTTCGACTATTAGTTGGAAGTACGTAAACTGTTGGATTTCTATCCGTTCTCACTGAAACTCCAGAAAAGAAGGGGGTCCTTCCTTTCACTGACACGTTCTTTCTGCTCACGCGTCACAGTTGTCCAAGACAAATCCTTCCGCGCATCATCGAGTATAATCCCGGGCAGAATCTCGAGTAGCAGCACTGGTCGACCGGCGCCCAATACCGGAGTCTATGCGCGCGTATGCACGGCGGAGCTCAAATGCAAGAACAACTATAAGAATGCGTCGAGGTTGATCAATAGTTGCCTGGGCTTGCAGATCGTTGTGGCGGCGGCGTTGACGGCTTTGGGAGCGGCGGATGGAAGTCGGAGTGCGATTACGGTGTTTGGTGAGTTTTCGGCTTTGGGTTCGCTGTGAGGAAGGGAAATGAAGACGATGGGGAACAAAGCAGATCGTGGATTGGAGACTGACGGCGGGGTCATTACACACAGGTGCCATCAACACCATCATCGCGGGATTTCTCACCTATCTCAAAGGTTCCGGTCTGCCGAATCGTCTGCGCTACTATCAACACGAATGGTCCATCGTCCGGGAGTACATCGAACAACGCGAACGGGATCTCAGCTGCGGGCAAGCATTCGACGTCATGGCCGAAGTCGCCTTGATCAGACAGATGTTCGAGTCCGTCAAGACCGACGTGGAATCCAGTCAGGCCGACCGCTTCGTGGGATTAGGCCAGGGTCTCCGACCGAACCAACAGCAGGCCCAGCAGAGCGCATATCCGCAGCCCGTGCAACGACTCCAACAGCAGGGCCAGCAGATGGTGTTCCAGGGCAAACAGATCCTCACCGAAGCAAACCAGGGCGTACGGAACTTCCACAACGAAGCCCAATCCTCGGCGCGCGAGGTCAACGATCTGGAAAAAGGCCTCGTTTCCTTCGGAAAAGGCTGGTTCCACGAGAAACAGGCCGAAGCCAGCACGGCCATCAGCAAAGCCCAGCACGGCCTCAGCGACGGTCTCACCGCCAACGTCGCGGGCCTGAAGGCCCGGCTGGAAGAGAAGATGCGCGACATCGGACACCTGGAGAAAGAGCTCGAGCACCAAAGCAAGGCGGCGCTCGACGAGAAACGCGCCGACGTCGCCGGCGCAGTGCAGAAGACCATCCACGAAGCAGAAGCCATCGGCCAGGAGATCGACTCGAAAACCCGCGCCGTCCTCGTCGAAGGCCAGACCTCCGCGCGGAACGTCGTGGCGGACTCCCAGACCCGCGCCCGCGATACCCTGTCCCAATACGATCACGCGGCCCGCGGCGCGGTCCAGGACCGCTCTGACGCCGCTCGTGCGGCCATCCGCGAGAACGAACTCGCGGCTCAACAGGCTCTCGCTAGGGGTCAGGCGGCGGCGACCGAGGCGGTCTCGACGACGGCGGATCAGGCGGCGGCGGGGATTGCCCGGACGGAGGCGATTGCGAGGGCGGCGGCGAAGGATTACATCGATCGGGCATTCGATGGGGTTTCACCGCCATCACCGGCGGCGGGGCAAGGGGCATGAACATCGATGATTTATGAGTGGACGGACGCTGGATACCCTGGTGGATTGACGACGAGGTTTTGGCATCTTTGATGAGTTAATGCTGTCTTGGAAATGTGCTTGGCTTGGGGACATGATGAAGAAACGAGGTGGGAGGAGAGACAATTCTGGCTTGAGGACGGAGTTGAAAGATGTTGTTCTCGAACATCGAAGGAACAAAGGAGAGCAAAGTTGGATTGTATGTTGAGCTAATAATACGGCCGTTCTACGTGCGGTTCACGACTACCGAGGGCGCGTAAGATACACCTTTAACTTCACGCGAAGTATTCATCTTTGATTCGATTCTCCCTATGGAAAGAAGAAATATTAACGACAAAAGAGTCGCCCTTTCACGGGTCCCGGTTCCGCCAACTTTTGTGTGAAGATTGCATTTTGGAGGGAACTTTGCTGCACGCATGGATTCACTGCGGACGCACTTTTCGAGGCGACCTGCAAAAGTCTCGTCGATCATTTGGCACACGCGTGCGCGCTCCACCGGTCGGGCCATGATTTATCTCTATACCGGTCTCTTCGCTCCGACGATATATGTATATATATGTCTACATATCGCCGGGTTTGCCCTGCGCCTCACATCGTGAGCATTTCCTCCTCCGCGGCGTTCAAGAAGCGGCATGGCACGCGTGGCTACTGCTGGTTAAAGGTTAGGGATCTGCATGGCAACCACGTCTGCGGAGCTCTGTCCGGGACCGACGCATGGCGATCTGATGAGCAGAAGAGCCGAAGTCTGGAGATGACGGGATGGATCTGTTGCCATACCAGGATGGTATTGCGAGATCTTAAAATGATCGATATTGCCCATATCGGAATAAATGGCCGTGAAAAGAGGGAGTACTCCCTATCATCTCTCTCAACCCATTTCCCACGACGAATCCTTCGAAAGATTCCGAAATGGCTCCAATAAATGGCGATATCTCGAAACAAAGAGTTCCTCCTCCATTGATCGACTTGTACGGCATCGCGGCCCAATATCGAAGAGGCGAAAGAAAACCTTACTGATCAGCTCCGCCTGGACTCACCGCCAAACTCAACCCTGGGAGCAAGAAACCTCCAATTCAGAGCGGTTATCCCCCAAGATCCATCGATGTTCTGGGATAGCAACCCGGAAGTCCGGCAGACAAGTCTCTCGGGGGGCCCACACGGCGGCAAACGGGCGGGCCCACGGCGGCACAAGCAAAAAGGGCAAACGGGCGGGTCGGCCGCGGGGGAAGCAAGACTCGCCTGAGACAGCGCAAAACGCCCGCCAATGGAGGATTTTTTCCCCCAGATACTGGATTGCGCATGCCCTACGTCACTCCGCCCAATGTGCCATGCCATCACACGACAACCGCCGCGCGCGCGACGAAGACAGGACGGAAGGGCCTTCTTTTTTCTCTTTCTTTCTGATACATATTCTTCGAGGCCTGCAGGACCATCCGTGACGATCGGCCGGCTGTTGAGAGGATATCTTGCACTCTCGCGTGCTTTGGGCAGGGAATGGTCTGCACTTTTCTGCTGAAACATTGCTGTCGATCCGGATCTGCATCGTTGAAAACTTTCACGCTCGTTGCCATTCATTCAGCTGGGAATCATCAATAGCGATACAGGTTGCTCTCGAACACAGAAAGGGAAACGATCCGATCCGATTTCAATCTGATCAAAGGGTCTCGATCGCTCCTGGAACAGATCAAAAAGAAAAGAAAAGGTCGGAAACAAGTCACTGAAAGAGAGAGAGAGAGAGAGAGAGAGAGAGAAAGAGAGAGACGAGACGAGACGAGACGAGATATTTGAAGGGATGGCGTCGTCGAGACACCACCACCATGCCGACTCCGACTCCGACAAACCCGACCACTCCCCGACTCGCGACCAAGGAGACGATCCCTCCCCCTCCTCCCTCGAAGCGCAACACGGAAAGCAAGAGAGCCAACGCCACCGCCTGCCCTTCACCGAATGGGTCGGCGCGAACGTGACGTGGTCGTGGTTCACCTGCACGCAGTCGACGGGCGGCGCCGCCTCGTTATTGCACGAATGTCCGAAGCAATTCGCGGGCCTCGAGACGCTCGGGATCATCATGTTCATGCTGCAGATCGCGCTGTTCCTGGCCTTCAACGCGCTCATGGTCCTGCGCTGGACGAAACACAAGGGAAGTCTCGCGCGGAGTTTCACCGCCAAGCCCGAGTGTAATTTCTTCGGCAGCTACTGGCTGTCGCTCGCCACGATTATTCTGAACATGCACCACTACGGCATGCCGCATACCGGACCGTGGATCATCACCGCCTTGCGCGTCCTCTTCTGGATCTACGCCGGGATTTCCCTGACCAGCACGACCGTGCACATGGCGGTGATCTTCCGCTGCGTGCGCCAGAGCCATGTGGATTTCGCGCCGCCGATGTTCCTGCTCATCCTGAACGCCATGCTGACGGGGACGATCGCGGCGACGATCGCGGGCGACCAGCCGGTCGAGGAGCGCGTGCAGATCATGGTGGCCGGGGTGGCGTATCAGGGCCTCGGCTGGCTGGTGTGCATGTTGCTCCTGACCATGATGCTGGGCAACCTGCTCGAGAACGGATGGCCGGCGCCGGCGCAGCGGCCGGGGCTGTTCATCATGGTCGGCACGAGCGGGTTTACGATTGTGGCGCTGATCGGGATCGCTGAGGCCGCGCCGACGGGTTATGGGTATTTCGGACAGCATCCCCTCGCGGGCGAGATCCTATTGATCGTGGCGACGTGGATCGGCGTCTTTCTTTGGCTGTTCTCGTGTTGGTGGTTCTTCCTCGCGGCGCTCATCGCGCTGTGGGATGTGCCCGCCTGGGCGAGGGAGGCCAATGGCGCGTGGTGGAAGGTCCCCGTGCATTATACGAATACGTGGTGGGCGGTGATTTTCCCGAACGTCGGTTGGGCGCTGGGCACGGTTTATCTCGCGAGGGTCTTGGAGAGTCCCGCCATCGAGTGGGTATCTGTCGCGATGATTATCGGTGTCGAGGCGATCTGGGTGATGAATATCGTTTTGATGTTCATGACGGTTTTCAGGTCGCTGTTTGTTGACGCTCGGGTTAAACTTGATTGATTTTTTCCTTCGTTTTTGTCGCATTGCAGGGTTGGGTTATTCTCTGCATTTCAGCGGATTTGTTGCATGTCATCGGGGCACATGGGAGCGTTTTGCATAACCAGCCATGAGATAATTCCATCGTCTTCTTCAGACCCGCCTGTCCATTTTTGCTGCCCTCATCATTCACCGTCGTCCATGATTTCATCGTTCGGCTCTCGCGGTTCCTGCGCTTCGTGAAACTGAATGCTGTCGTCGATGTAGCTCAAAACCGCGCCCACGCTGTCCTCATCCTGAGCATCCAATTTCAAAAACGACACCAAACTAAACTCATCAATCAGCTGTGCCACCGCCCGATTGAGTTTCGTGAACGATGCGCCCGTCATCATATCCCTCTTCTCCTCCTCCTTGGCCGCCTCATCCCCATTGTCCACCCCATCCTTCCACTCATACACCAACCCGCTGTCCGCCGCATCCTGCATCAGCCCGATGTCCGGATCGATGAACCGCTTGAGTTCCTTCCTCGCCACCTGACCCTTGACCTGATCCATCTTGCTCAGGATGTTCACATGCGGCAAGCCCATCATGAGCATCGCACTCATGGCGCTGAGCGTGCCCGAGAAGAACTTGGCCCGGTCGCCGATGAAGGTGCTCTCCAGGAGGTATGCCACGCACATGCTCACGTTCGTGCTGCCCTTGGTGAGGTGCGCGATCAGCTGCGGGATCACAGGGACGTGCGTGTACAGTTCGATCTGGCCCGGCATGTCGATGATGATCAGGGACTCCTCGCCGACCTCCTCGAGCGGCTCGGTCAGGAAGTCGAGGTTCTCCATGAGGAATTCGAAACAGTATATGAGGCCTCCGTTCGGTCCCAGGTGGAGTTCTTCCATGACGTCTTCGAGCGAGATCAGGTCTTTGATGTCGACGTCTGGCTCGTAGGCGAAGTCTTCGGCGGCGGGGTCGAGGTTGATGTAGAAGCAGGACCGCCGGTTGTTGCGCAGAAATTGGATGAGGGCGGTGCAGAAGGTGGTCTTGCCGGCGCCTGCTGGGCCCATGACGATGACGCCGTATTTGGAGCCCATGTTGAGATGTTGTTATCAATAGGTTGGGGAGTTTTCCCTGTTGTTCTTCTGTTTTTTTTTTCCTTTTCTCTTCTTGGGTTTCTTGTGTTGTTGGTTTGAAATATAATTTCCTTGTCCCGCGCGGGTTGATGAACAAGAGGCCCTCCCACCCAAGTGACAGTAGGTACCTAGGTTGAAGGTGACGAAGAAATTCCTCTTATCGATAAGGAAATAGCGGGCATCACCTGTAGTTTCCAATATATGAATACATCCACAGTTCCACAACATTTCCCGCTGATCCTCACAGGCATAAAGAGGAATCTCCGGCCAAAAGTCGACGCATGTCCGCACTCGCCGCCGATATCACAAGTTCTCACCCCAAACCCTCACTCGCCTCTCTTTCCTCTTCTTTTCTCCCTTACACAACTATCACCAAGATGATGAGATGGCCTTGTTTCTAGCAAAAACTTCACCGACACGACCACGGAGGAATTTATTTCCTCTCGCTGGGAGTCTCGCGTGGATGATGCTGATATGCTCTCGGGCCCACTCACCACCTTTTCAAGGGAGCAATTTGAGATTTTTCTGATTGGCTTGATGTTGTGTTGTCCATCATTCCTTTGTGGGAAACGCGAGCCGTTCCTGGGATGATCTTATTCTTCTTTGATTGAGAGTGAGAGTGAGATTGAGGAATTGTTCGGAGTGGATGAAGGAGAGGAAGAAATATGAGATGAAGAAGTTGATATGGCATCGACAATGGCAGGTATATTCATGGTCTGTCCCAGCGCGCGTCGGAGACTGCCCTTCTTCTACATTCACTTTCTTTCACATTCCTCCTCTCCGTAGGCCTCGCAAGATGTACATATGTATCTGCGTTTTCTCACCTGCGTCTGGTTACTACCTAAAGATCTATTCAACCTCCAGTTCTACCTAGGGATCTATATTCACCCTCCAATTTGTGCCAGATCACCATTCAAGAACCCTGTCAAGAACGATTTCGCAAGAACCCTGTGAAGAAATGTTCTTCAAGAAGCGTGTTGCCCTTGATCCGCCAACCATCCTCCTTCTCCAGTGCCCAGTCGTGAGACGATCGCTCGATAGTACAGTTCAAGACCCGACGTCCTGCTCATTGCGTCTACTGCATTTCATCCATCACCCGTACCATGGCCTTTCAAAGGTGTCTGTTTTCGCACGGTGTCGGCAGTTCTCAGCGCCAGTTGCCATTCCAGCCACCCATCACCGGTCTGTCTGTGCGTGTGCGCGTGTGAGTGTGAGTTAGTGTGTGTCTGTGTATGCGTTCACCATGTTTCCTGGGCGGCATCGGCATGTGGGAAATAATATCTGTGGTAACGTGGCGGAGAATCAGCACAATTTCTGTCGATCGAGGTGGTGAGTGAGCCTTTTCCTGCGTGCGAATATGCCTTTCTTTGATGGATTCAGTCAAAGAAGAACATGGGAGGTTTCATCGCCTCAGTGTGTCGTTGGGATGATGAGCAACTCTCTCCCCCAGTAGCGTGTTTCGGGTCTTTCAGTCAGGCAGACAGCACATGAGCACCCATCCCTTCCAGGGTTCCTTCCGTCTCTTCCACGACGTTCCTACCTACCTAGGTAAGTACCGTTCTTGACGTGTTCTCTTCACGATGCGCAACATCCACGACACATGGATCAGGCAGACGTGCCAAGCATCTCGTATGATGGTGAGGATCCTCGCCGTCTCCTTCACTTCACCTGCCCAGCTTTCAAGCACAAACACATGCAAATCTTCTGAATGACGACTCCACATGGGCAACATCATGGCCAGCGCATCAGGTGATGAGATCCATGTTGACCACGGCTCATACGGGATTTTGTCATCCTCCTTGCCAAACTCTTCAGACTTTCCTGATGTCGAATCATACATCGTGCCGGTCACGAACCACCCGTCACTTCCAGGCCCGCCCTTGAACTCGAACGCCACGACCACAACAACAACAACGACCATCAAAACAGAGACAAATATGGATGGCTCAAAGACCTCGACCACTATCACGAATCCGCAGCCTGCCCGATCCAAAGTCTTCAGAAGATCGAACTTTGCAATCCGTCCACCAAGCCCAGAGTTGGGTGAAGGAGAATGGGCAATCACTCGTGACGCCAGAGGTCGTCCGATTCGTGCCAGTCGTAGGATGGTCACTTCACACAATGCTCTCGATTCTGATGATGGTGAAGATGGACTTTCTGACGAGTACGACGAGCACGCTGAACCTGGCGAAGAAGAGCTCAGCGACCTCGAAATGTCCGTTCCGCAACTGCTTCGCAACATCCCGGACGCCAAGCTGCGAGCCAGAGTGAGACGGATCAATTCACTCTACCCAGAAAGAAGCATCGAAACGATCACAAAGGTTGTCGAGAAACACAAAGGCAACGTCAGAGATGCATTGACATATCTCGAAGAACATGAAGGACGGCCCATGTGTCTCGGCAAACGCAAACGAAGTGAATCGCCGCCAGCATTGCTACTGGGAGATGAAGACGACGATATCGTTGATTTGGATTCGGAATACAGTGACGAAGAGGCAACTTTGATTAATCGGGAGCCAGCTTCGGTCAACGAGGTCGAAGGCAGTGGGATCTCCCAAGCTCACGAGCACTACTCCATACAGCTCACGGTCAATGTTCCATTGGGTCGTCAGGAGCCAATCGTCCTTCGCCTTGACCCGAAAGATCTCAGCGCAGCGAACGGACCTTCTGGTCCCAAGAAAGCCAAGCTAGTGACACCGAAGAAAGCCAAGACACTGATTGTCAAGCTGTCGATGAAGTCTGCTGTCAACACAAAGCGACGTTCAAAGAGATTTGCGAAGATTATCAAGACTTTCAAACAGTCGGTCGGCTTCATGGATCTTGCTCCAGGTAAAACCATGACATCGTTGCACACGGGCGTTGGCATTGACATGCTGACATTTGACAGAACTACGCAACAAGATCTACCGTGCCACGCTCACCTCGAAGAGCCCTCTACACATCGGACGGGCAACGAACCTCACGCTGACCGCGGCGCTTCTGCGTGCAAATCGTCAGATCTACTCCGAAGCTCGTACCATCTTGTATTCGGAGAATCGCTTTTGCATTGGTAAGAGGTTATGTCACAATCGACATGACCAGAGAACTAATCTTGCATGACCAGAACGCCGCTCGATTCGACACGGATCCTTTTGGGACCCGGACTGGAAAGAGGCCGGATTCGGTCCAGCTCGGAAATTCATCAAAATCATCGGTCCGAAAAACATCGCTCTCATCCGTCAACTGTCCTTCAATCTCGAAGATGCACTTCCCGGCTTGAGCCCGCCCGATTCCACCGCAGAGAAGCGTCGCTTTGTGCACGATGAAAACCTCATCTCGATCCTTCGCAATCTGGCCAAGCATGCCCGACTACGTGAACTGAACCTGCACTTCCACGGACGGCGTCGAGTCGAACGCACCGACGAGCTGTTCCTGAACCATATGAAACGTGTCAAGGCGGATTCCGTTCAGTTCCGACTGTACGTTTCCGAATATACCGGTTGGTCTACGAGCGGCTATGGTCACGAGCGTGCTCCAGATCCTCGTGTCAAGAGTATGCTCCTGATGGGGTGTGAACGTCGCAAGAAGTTGTTCACGAACTGATCGGAAATCGCAACTTGCTCGCCGTCTGGACTCATCTCGAGTACAGTACATCAGCGTGTCGAATTTTCAACGCTTCGAGCCATTTCCACATCACAGCATGTCGACAGCAGGGATTCAGGTACACGTGCACATCGCTCATGACATGAACAACCGAAATCGTTGTGATGCTGAGTGCGAACGCGAGAGGTGTCTTCGTAGCATTGACCCTCATCGACATCTCGAAATTGCTCCTGCAGGTGATTGCTCGGCATTTGATCGCGACAGGGAGACATTCCTCACGTGTAATTTATCCAATCAACTGCATAATAATCGAGTGGAGCTCAACCCTTTTCCCCTTCGTATCTGCAGCACCTTCGTCGAGCTTATCATGTGGAATGACGATGCGGCGTGGTGCTGTAGCTGAAATGTCAGGGTCGGCGGCACGGATTTGAGCTTCGTATCTGCTGCGATGGAGCCACGCCAAAGCTTAAATGTAGCTCGGTTGACATCACCTCTAGATTCCATTCCCTCGCCTATAAATAAAATGATGTTCACCTAAACTATAGATCGTGTTACAGTCGTGACTGCTGTTATCCAAGATATTTCAAGCAAGGACTTCACCTCTCAATCATCGCTCCAGACCCACAAGCAACCTCCAATACAACCCATCCTCCAAGAAAAAGCGCATTCAAGATCGCGAAAGTAGAAAGACACATCTAGAAGCAAGAAATATACAGACATAGAAATAAAAGAAGGAACTAGATCCAAGACAGAGAAAAAAGACCCAATATAAAAATATTTAAATCAAGAAAAGAAAGAAAAAAACCATGCCGCCGATCCTCCACCTCATGCGCCACGGCCAGGGCTACCACTCCGCCGAAGTCACCAAAGACGGCCATCTCCTGCACGACCCTGAACTGACCCCCAAGGGCGTCGAGCAGTGCAAAGCCCGCTGTGCAGCCTTCGACCGGCACGATCACGTACGTCCCTTCTCTTTCTCTCTCTTTCTCTCTCCTCCCGAGCTCCAGATCTCGCATCGTATCAATACCTACCCTCCAACATCCTACTCCACGCCATCGTCACATGAGAGGAGAAGGGTGGTCCCGGGAAACTGCGCCGTGATATCCAATGACATATACAACAACAGATCGACCTCCTCCTGGCCTCACCCCTCCGCCGCGCAATCCAAACCACAACGCACGCCTTCTCGCCCTCCATCGCCCGCCGCGGCCTGCGCATCATCGCGCTGCCCGCCGCGGAGGAGGTCTCGTCGGACCCCAGCGACACGGGCTCCAGCGCGTCGGCGCTCCGCTCGCAATTCGGCGACGAGCTTGTAGATTACTCCTACTTGTCTAGCACCGCGGGCGGCGACGACGGCTGGTTCGAGCACGTGGGCGACTTCTCCAGCGAGGCCCAGGCCGTCCACGCGCGGGCCGAGGCGCTGAGACGCTGGATCCGCGACAGGCCCGAGACCGAGGTCGTGCTCGTCAGCCATGGCTATTTCGCCCATTACCTCACCCATGAGGTCGACGCCCAGGGCAAGCAGACCACGGCTTGGTGGGGCGAGGCCGAGCTGAGGACTTATCGGTTTGAAGAGGATGCTTCTTCCGGGGAGGGGAGGGGGCGGGCGGTGCTGGTCGAGACGGAGGAGTCGAAGAAACGCAGAGGTGGTGATAGTGGTGATGGGGCAGAGGAGGGGGAGAAGAGGGTCATTTTGAATCTACCCTGGGTCGAGGGGAGGATCATCCATTGAGGGATAGAGATAGAGAGGTAGAATTCTTTATGAATCACGACGCCCACGACTGACGCTCTCGATGACATTTACTGGCATCCAATTCGTTCTCTGCCTTGCTTACCACCCAATTCCATGGATCATCCGAAAGATAAAAAGGGGTCCAGCTACGCTTAAGACCTCGTCCCGTTTCCTCCCTTTCCACCACCACCAGCAGCAGTAGAGTACCCAGCAGGACCAGCACTAGCAGAAGTAGTGTTGACCTTACATCGACTCAAGCATTCCTTCGTCCCCCAATTCGCCCCCGTGCCCGGAGGATTCATCTTCGCCTGGGATTCGCCGTTCACGACGTTCGACCCCCAGGCCGCATTGATCAGGTCGGAGGGGAATCCGTTCGTGAAGATTTGTCCGAAGTTCGACGTCCCAGCGTCGTCGCTGGACAGCGCGGAGATGAGCTGGGCGTTTTCGCAACCTATTGATACCATTTTCGTCAGGAGAATTTGATCCTTGAGGGAGATGCCGATATCAGGGTTTGCTCAAAAGGAAGGTGCCCAGGTGAAGTTTGATGGCCGGGATTGATGACGGGACCTACCGGTGTTGACCATCATATGCAGACTACCCTGAGGAAAAATCGTCGCTTTCATGGGCGTGAGTATCTCCGTGATGGCGTGCGCCCCGTTCTCCTCGTACATGTAGGTCGTCGTGTTGCCTGAGATGGCGACGACGAAATTCGCCCCGCGGGGGTGGAAGTGAGGGGGAAGCATGGAGCAGGGTCCGAGGTTCAGGACGGCCACTGTGCATATCTATCTGTTAGTAAGGAGGGAGGAGAAGAGGTGGTTTCGAGGCAGGTAGAGAGAGAGGAAGGGAGGCATAGGAAGAACGGACGGGTCAAACCGTGGCCTTTTGCGGCGGGAAAGGTCGCGGCGTTCATGTTGGTTACGCCGCCAGGGGAGAAGTTGTAGGTTGGCTTTTGGGTGGAAAAGTCGAAGAGCCAGTCTTTGTTGGAGGGGAGCAGGGCAAGGCGGTCAAGCTGGGAGGTGGAGGTGCTGAGTTTTGCATTCAACTCGGGATTGATGGTCGTGTCGACGGCTGTGATTGCCGCGATGAAAAGGGCGGCCATTACCCATATCGATTGAGAACGCATGTCGAATATTTATAATTTAATGGATGGTTTGTTGATTTGGTTTTGCTATTGTCGAAAGCTTGAAAGACGGGATTGCTTATTGCAATGTGAATGGTCCAGGATATCAGATGGCAGGAAATAATAGAACATGCCTCGATCTTTATACATCCAAGATCCTTCAGCCTGGATTACAACTTGATGCATCACAAAGCCGTGATGAACATGTTGCCCTCACTCGGTAGGATGTGCAAGATCGAAATGAACTTTTCGGCCCCATGTCACAAAGAGGCGTACGCTGCGAATCGAATCAGCATGTCTGGCCTCCACCAGGGATTCCAGTGGCTTCACAGCGTCTCGAGCAAACGCACAAGCGAAGGCATTGGACCAGAGTCAGTAAGGGGCGTTTGTGGAAGCCATGTGGTCGGACAGGGCTTTGATCTTGTGTTAGAGATGCACGAGGGGGCTGGAAGAATGCCGATAAAAGGACATTTGCATGACATGTTGACGTTTCAGCCACGATATGACATGTGGGAGTTCGCGGACTCCACACAGGGATTTTGAGGTCGTCTCCAACAGGACTCCATTTCTCGCGCTCGAAAGCTTGGGGTCGCTTCAGACAATTTGACGTTTCCTGTCTTCTTGTCAATATCGTCTCTCGTCGTCCAGAATCACTTCTTCTTGCTCATATGTGATCTAGACCCCTTTCCTTGAGGTTTATTTCCAAAATCCAGCGCCGCAATCACCACCACCAGCAGGAAATCCCTTGTAGGATCGTGACTTCGTTCGAACTATCACACGATCCTATGCATGACGTGGCAGTGTTCCTGACACACATGGAACAAAGAAAATAAAAAGCCAAGATCCGGCTATAAATCTTCTCCATACTTTGCCATGTGTTCCGGGGCTGAAAAAACACCAGTAATACACATGCGTAGTGATGACACTTCCAGAAGGGGAAATTCCTCGCTGTGTCGCGGCTGTGACAGGTACATGTAGTCCGGAAACTCTATATTTAGCTCTCCATTTGATCGAGGTTCCTTTTCTCCCGTCTTTGTGAGAAGCCGGATACTAATGAATTTCGCACTGCAGTAAAAAATTGACGTCTTTCTTGCTGCCAAATAAAGGTATTTCTCTGCTATAATGGGGCGGAGTCGCTGAACTGCTCTTGTGCATAACATACTGTGCTCAGTGTTGCTATCAGGATGTAGTAGATCCGGCGAAAGAGAAAAGATTTATCTCCAGAGAAAGGAGGTGCACAAGATTTCATTGGGTTTTATCCATGGATTTCCGCCGCGTTCGAGTTTTGATGATCTCGATACAACTTGATATTGCTAAGTGGGAGATGTTTCCGACAGCGTCCATCGCAAGGCTGCCTCCGCCGCATGCTCTTCCCGTCCGATTAATATCCACAAATCCTAGTCGACGGGTCTACATAATTCACAACGGAAAAAGCATTTCATGGCCGATCGTGGGAAGAGACAGATCCACTCGACTGCCAAATGTAGGCCCGCGGTCGAACAGATCGTGTAGCCACCGTTTGGCGGCTTGCCTGGCGACTTCCAGATCTTCAACTTCAGTCTGCTTCACTCCTGGTACCTCGCAGAACCTGTGGCCGCTACGCTGTGCGATCGCTTCCGAAGTCCCCTGGTCATCATCCGCATGATAACGAAGCCAACAGCGGCGGCAAAAGTCTCTGAACTCACAGCTGTTACAAGAGTGATGATTTTCATCTGCTGGCATGACACGCCCGCAGCCATCGCGCTCAATGCCTTTCAGCAATATCGACTTACAATGTTGGAACGCATGTATGGCATCAGATTCATCTCCGATGGCAAGCAAGATTCCGCCTATAAGATACAGGCATTGGTCCGACGGTTTGATGAAAAAGCCTCGCAGGCCTAGAACTCTGTCCCACAGAGCCGCAGGCTGGCAGCGTGAGGATATGAATGGTGCGAGTTGGCGTGGAAGTTTCCCGGAGCAGAATGCGAAAGTCCAATGTGCTCGTTGTCGATAATTCGAGAGCAGACGATGCAGAGGGAAATCGAAGGATCTGGGCCATGTACCATCAGCCTCCAATGTCCTTTTGATCATGGGCAGCCATAGCATCTCCGCCTCCTCCATTTTGCCTTGTCTGAGATACAGATCGCCAAGATGGTTCATTGTTTTCAGCGTCAACGGATACCTCAAGCCTCACGCCTTCTCGTATCCGCGTAGCGCCCGTATATACATCTCTTCCGCCTCCGCCCTTTTGTCTTGGTCGGTGTACAGAGCGCCGAGATTGTAGATTATAGTAAGTGTCGACATGTGTTCCGCGCCCCATGCCTCCTCGGATCCACAAAGCGCCCGTAGATACATATCCTCCGCCTCCACCACCTTGCCTTGGTTGAAATATAAATTGCCAAGATTGGTGACTGCATTAAGCTTGGACGGGTGCTCTTCACCGCGTAACGCCCGCTCATACATCTCCTCGGCCTCTGAAATCTGGCCTTGAATGGCGTATGTAGCGCCGAGATTAACGACCGTGTCAAGCGTCGACGTGTGCTCCGCGCCTAATACCTTCTTCTTCCCGCGTAGAGCTCGTACATACATCTCCTCGGCCTCCGCTAGCCTGCCTTGGCTAGCATATAACATACCGAGATTGTTAGCCGTTTCAAGCACCGATATATGCTCCGCACACCATGCCATCTCGTAGTGCCCGCAAGTATAGGCTCTCGGATTCTTCAGTGTTTTCTCAATCGGCTAGAAAGCACGCGATTCCGTGACATACTTTAGCCATCTCATCCTCCTTAGTCGACCCAAGCATTGCTACTTTTGCCGCGACTGCTTTCGCATGTGCTGCTAATCGCAACCTCCTTTCCTTCGCAACTTCTTAGCCCATCGAGTCTGCCATTCTTGCGACCAGTCTTAGTACTGTTGCCAGGAGTGTTTGTACGGCAGGCTCGTCCAGGTTGTGCAAACACCATGTATGAACTACCGCATGTATCGAGTGCGGCTGACTCGCTGTGCTGATATTCACTAACGAGTACTGTATGAGGATTCCGATCGAGTGCTGTAGCGAGAGCTTCGTTACTGGCCCGACTCCTAAGTCGACGCTAGAATTTGTCTGTACTCCGTCGCCTTGCCCAGCTAGTACAAGCTCTGCCTAAACATCGCTATGGTTAAGGAATGCCCACAGGTCAAGTAGCCGGGCTGCAAGAAGATTTATACTTTTGACCCGGTAATAGTCACGTCTCCCTCTCGACATCCACCGCTTGACCGAAATGGACAGCAGAGACCCGCTTGGGTGCTTCCACGGAGGGATGAGATTGTGGCCATGGCGACAAAGTCAAACGACCGCATATAAGCAAAGCTCGGCTTCTTCAGAAACTTGGGAAGATAGACCTGGACCCATTCGGAGCTGCAATCATCCACGAATTGTGCTTTGAGGTACTCCTAAGGTTCGGGATACCAGCCGGCTTGATGCCAATCGATCATAGCGACAAGCCGGCAAGGCCCATCGTCTGGGTCTAAGAGGATAATATTACTCTTAGCTAAATATGCATGCGCAAACACGATAAGCACCTTGTCGTCGAGACCGCTAAGCTCCTCTATCTCCTCGCGAGAATTCGTGAAGTTCTCCGGCCGGCGAAGCGCGCATCTCGCGAGTGCTTCGTAGAAAGCTAACACACTGGCATATAGACCCGTTGTGTTGTTGTGGTCGCCCTTGAGATAGTTTTTCGCCGAGTCCGTCTTCGAGTCTTCAAAGATGATGTCTTGAAGCAGCCGTCTGGATATCCCACAAAGTAATACGCAGTCTGTCATTTTACATATATGGCCTCGGCAGAATGCTTGAGAGGTTACACGTCTTTGTCTCAATAGAGTATTGTGCGAATCGTGACGGGAGTTTACCGAGTTCACTATGTATCAAAAAATGAGTAGCTTGCGTGGGAAAAGGACACGCGCAACTTCTACTGAAGGGGAAAACTTGACCAATTATCTCGGAAGTCCTTACTACCCTCTCGTAAGGGCCAGATGGAATGGAAGATTTCCCAAATCCAGTGATTATGCCGACTAGGCAACAACAGGGCGTATCGTTCCTCAAGAACTAATCGTCTCTCTCTCTGTAGCTCCGTGACCGTGAAGTCTTCCTTGTCGTTCCGCCCAGTCCGCTCGACTGACCATGATCGAGACAAATTGCGAACAACTTCATTGACTGCGACATTTATTTCTTGATCGCCGTATTCACCCGCCCCGGTCGGCCACAACTTGAGTCGCTCTAGCGGCCTGCCGGTTTTGTTCTGACTGATGGTAGTCCAGATTGAGCAAGCCAGTGCTTGGTCTACGGCGCAATTGATGAAGGCTTCTTTCAAGTCACCCCTTTTGATCCGCGACTGGCCCGGTAAGGGCTCTCGATCATGTTTATTAAACTCCGGCTTATACGTTGGATCTCGAGTCACTCGCCAATTTGAGCAATCCAAAATCAAAGAAAGGACTCGTAGGTGTCCAATCTCCCCGAAACATTTGTATAGTTCGGTCTCCGACGGTCTAGACATGTTGCGCTTAACCAGAAGTACAAGCTCCTCTAGTATCGGACACTGAGCTCGAAGCCGTACAACACAATTTTTAGTGAAGTAGAAAGGTAGATCTTGACTGCGACGACTGTTTGAAGCGGATTGTTCCTCGAAGGGATGCAGGCTGAGTTTTCTTAGTGTCTGTCCGTGGTAAGTAAGAACAGCATTCGTAATTTGGTAGTCAATTGACCCATCAATGCATAGTTGCTGAAGAGATTCGAAAGATCGTATAAAGGAGATTGCCTGCTCTCGATAACGTGGTCTTTCCACCTGTAAGTCATCGCGACTAAGTTGAGCACAAAGTGATCTTAGGCGAGGAAATGACTGATTCTGTACGATCCATTCCATGCTGTCGCCGTTGACTCCAGGCTGCAGCATATACAAGTCTCCACCAAGGGTGAGATGTTGCAAAGAAGCCAAGTCTACATGTCTGGCCCAGGCCTGCAGCACTTGGGGTAGATTCAACCAAATTGACTGCATGTTACCTTTGAGCGAAAGAGATTCCAATAATTCTGTTTTCCGAGAAGTAAAGCCAGGGAAGCCTTGCCACGATTTTCGAGGCCGACTCCACCTTGAAGAAGAAGATGGAAAGAGGTTTAGGACTTCGACCTTACGTAAATTAGGGGCAAGACCGGTTACCAGCTGCATCAGAGCCTCAAGGTTGAAATCCTCGGCGCCATTACTATCGCGCTGAGTACAAAAAGCCTTCAACTGATAGAGACACGGTGACGTAGCAAGCTCCATTTCGTAAGCGTTAGGAGTAGCTAAAAGTAAGGTCCGAAACTTGAACGTAAGGTGATGTAGCCTGCACTGAGGTTGTGCCTGGTGGAGGACTCTTAGTAGACTTGGCGGAAATTGACTCCGGCAGTCAAAGACGAGATTTTCAAGCGAAATCTTAGCTCCGAGCAGGTTGACTAAAGGAGCCCATGCGACATCTTCGTCGGACGACGCCTCGATCACACTTTCATCGCAGACGACATACGAGCTTCCATAAAAGATCGGGGTCTCGTCCAAAAGAGGATTGAAAGAAGGGCTATAAGTAACTGACCAAGGCCTTTGGTTGGGCAAAAGGTCGTCGGTTTTCTCCTTGCCAGCAAGGCTCAAAGCCCCCTTGATAGTGATTTGTCGAATGTAGGAGAAGGAATCGGCATAGGACAGAGCCTCGCGAAGCGCATTTACATCGCGCAGCAAGCCTTCCGGATTAGAGACCGTAATATAAATCTGCCTAAAGACGGCAGGAAGCGATGCTTGGTGGCAAGCGATGCTCGTCGAGCTGAAGCTTCGAAGACTAGTCGGCTCAAGACTGTCTGCGATTTGCTGTCGCAGCTCGAGCGGCAAGGTGAGTAGAGACATATTGGCAGCGGCGAAGCGAGTAGAAATGTCTTGGCGACAGAGACGATATCGAGGTGACTTGCGCCGGTCCTGATCTCAAGAGAGAAGAGCGAAGCCTTGACAACGATAGGGATTTTGTCTTGGTTGAAGCGCTGCAAGTGCCAAAAATTTACGGATGGAAGTGCGATGGAAAGCAAGTATTTCTGTATCTCGAGCTTGTCAAAGGGACGCGATTGGATGAGAGATGGCCAGGATTAAAGTCGAGTGAGCGACGCGCCGTATGTCGGAGACTGCGTGAAGTGTCGCTGCGCCGCATGCCCTGCTGTTAACTTCGCGACTGTTACTGTGCCTTCAACGACTGCGCGGTGTTTTGCACATGCGTGCCGTGCTTCTGATCAAAAGAAGAAACGTCACCGTCAGCATATTGGCGTATGTTTATGGTAGAAGCGGCGATGCCTTGTCTCTGCAAGAGGCGGGTGAAAGTGGCTCTCGGCACGACCGTATGCGGCGCGGTAGACCCATGATGAAAATCCAAGAATCCGCCAACAGCCTTAGAACTCACTCCAAGGCACACCAACACCTCTTCCAATGAGTGGACAATCTGGGAATCAAGATCGGACGATCGGCTGTACGAGTCTCGACAGCTGCTGCTACGCTGCTTGCGCACGGAACTTTAGGCCATCAAGCAATCAAGTAATTGACAACAACATACGAGAAGTCCTGCAGTCGCTGCCAACGCCGCTCCTGCTATGGAAAACGTATTGATCGACCACATCTTGACCGACAATGTCCCTATGGTGGAGATAGACGCGATCAGTTCGGGGATCGGCAGAATCGATAGCGTGGGACTAAGATTGTTCAAGAAGCTGTGCGAGGATTTGGCGCGATGAAGGATGTCTGCAATACGACGGAAACTTCCGGATGAAAGTCCGAAGCTTTTCAAAGCCAAAGGATGGTGGGATGGGAGTCGCGCTTGATTGAATTCTGTGTATTATTCACACATCTATTATGTAGCAAGATAGAATCGGAGTTTTGCTTAAGTACATGAACTGTTTAGCGGTAGAGAGCGATCGGTCTCGCTCATATTATTTTTCTGGTCATCCTGACCCTTCATTGAACGTGCGAGGCCATATGACGACGACTCCTGGATAGCATTCCCGGGGATCATGGAGCCTGCTGTGCTATTTGTGCTTCCAGTCTGTGACGAGTGGTGTCTCCGTTTTCTGCGGGGCATCTCATCATCCTCGTCTCTACTAGAGACAGATCTGGCGCGGCTTAGAGATCGTTAATCATGCCCTTTCTCTGAGCAGTGGATTTCAGGACTAATCTCTCGGACAGGAGTTGAAGAGGAGCGTTTAAGACTCAGAGCAGGGACGCATCCTGCTTCCGGTGCCGCCGTGATCGCGGTGTGCGGAGATCTCTTTAGACCTGCTACCCAATCAGAATCGGTCTCCTCCTGAAACACGCCAGACAATTTCTTCGTCGTTACTCTCTTCATCGGACACGGTCTGCGAGTTCGGTTCTCGTGAATAGCTGATACTGTCGCTTCTGTCTCCACCGACATTCTCCAGTCGGCGGTTCACTTCGTCGGCCCTGCCCGGAATGCTGCTAACAGGGGATATCGCCTACACCGAAGCTGTGCAGACAGTGTTACCGCTCGTCCAACAGCGCTATCCAGGAATCGGACTCTTCGGCACAGGCGCCTGCAGCGGTGAGTCGTGCGGCCTGAGGAAGGACTTACGAGTGCTAAAGAAGATTGTGTGAGACTCCGGAGTTCATGCGTATTCTGTGTGCTCGTGGTCTGGGAAGCAGAATCCCTTCTTCAGGGCATCGTTTTCAGCCAGCCTTGGCATGGGATGTCAAACGCCATGCTCATGTCAGGTGCGCTCTGGTCGGGAAGGCTTCATAGAATGCTCGGGCCTGAACTGAGGCTCACTGTCCATGCGACATGAGCTCACTCCGATGACTCATCAGATGCTGTGTTCTGCTGATGATTAATATTGTCAGCTTGTTCACAAGTTGAGAAGGGTGAGTCACAGACAAGATTCCGTTTTCGTTGCACGAAGCTGTCGGAGTGTTTCGTCCGACTTGACCGATACCCAGAGAAGAAGAACAGGCGGTCGTCCAAAGACTTCAATTTCAGTAAATCTATTCAGGATCCGCAGACGGACCAAAAGCAAAAAGTACAGCACGAGAGACTCCTACGTCGTCACCTACCGTAGTACTAATCTACGCACGACCTCGTCGCGTCCTTGAGTGGGCGGATGAGATGCTTCATGGGAGCAAGATACGTCAATATTACCAGCTGCGTGGCTTTTACCCCTACAGCTTTTTAGACTTTGCTATGCGCTCCTTCTCCCGGTCTAGATAATCCGCCATGGGTGTGAAATGTACCGAATTCTGCGATACAGCAAGAAGCTGCCCATTCTCGTCCAACAGCACCTGGCCCATGTCTTGCTTGCCATTTACGACAGCCTTACACGAGCTTCGGCAGTACACCCAGTCGGCACCCTCCGACGGTAATTGGCCACGGATATCAACGTTGACGCTCAACATCACGGCGTCATGGGGATTTTTCGGGTCCAGGTATGCCTCTGCGTTGTTCCAGATTCCCGGGAACCAGACCTCGCCATGTTAGCACTGCTGGATGTGTTCCTGCATGGGCGGGGGATAAGTACTTACTTCGTCGAACAGCATCGGCGATAGGTATGACAGGAATGGCAGCATCGACTGGTCCCACTTTTGGCCATCTGGTGCTCGCATCCACGACTCGGAAAACAGATTCGAACTTAATCCGGAATGAGGAATGTGATGTCGAGGGACATTGTATGCCCGCCTGTTGTCAGCTTGTGGCATTTTCGGGACGCACTTCCAATTTGCGTCTTGGTTTCTCGCGAGTCGTGCCAGGTCGGCAGGCAATGGTTTGGGATGCAACGACCAGTCGGCTGCCGCATTGAGGCTCTTTGGCTGTGGGTTCAAGTTTCCCATGACCACCGTCGCCACCGCCAGTTTCTTGTCGTCCGGGCATCGTCCGGGCATCCCTCTCTCGCTATCGAGCAACTTATCGTCGAGTACGTTCTTCCGTGCGACAACCCGCTGAGCGTTATCACGGCAGGCCCTGGCGGTGTCGGGCGCAAGAAATGGATATTCGCACTGACGGGATGTGGATGGTTGACGCTGCCATCTTCAGAGAGCGCAGGTATTAATCAATGAATCTTGGCGGAGAAAATAGCCGAAGGAGACGCTCGAATTTTCGACTACTCACACTCTCTCTTGACAAAGTCTTGAGCGGCGTTGCAAATCTGACTCAACACGACACCCCCGAAGACGGCAGGGCCGTCACAGAGGGATTTGAGGATATCGCTCAGGTAAATTCCTGGCCGCCCTGCCGGTCGTACTCTGAATGCCTGGCGCAGATTCGGGGCCATGTTGTCGTTCCGTTTTCAAAATACCGTATGAACAGTGCCCGCTCGAAGACTGCGTGGGATCAAGCACAGCTGAAGTAGAAGATGGTTTTGCAGGCAGGCAAACGTAATGCGGTGAAAAGGTTGATGATTCTACCATTTCGTCGTATGGACGGACTTATAGGGACGGAATACCCACTGCTCTTTCCGACATTTGCCTTACAGACGAGGCAGGTCTAGATGAGGGCGTATTGGGGACGTCATCCTGTGGAGTACCGTCACACGATGCATTGCCCTAATTTGTGATAATCATCGGCAGTGTGGGACTTTTGACTGGATGCTATTTGCACTACTGCACCTGCTTGTGCAGGTGGAGACCAGTATTGAAAGGATGAGACCTGCTTTTTCGTCGACGACTCTCACGAGAGCAAGCAACATCTGGACGCAGATACACAAAAATGGGCGCCAATGAATGTTTCGACGTTCTACATTATCGTCAGGCGCGACAGACAGACAAACCCTCTCGTCGTCTTAGGCGTTCCCCAGTGGACAGCATTCACTGGGCAGAAGACGTTACCACAACATTCATCCATCATCTAAATTTGCACGCAATTGTCCCAAACTCTATTGACTAGGAAACAAGAGACAATCGACGACAACGACAGGCTACGGACCCCCCACAACTTTTTTTTCCTTAGTCGTTTCTCCGCAGCAACTTTTCATCAAACCGTCAACCGCAACCCGCTGCTGGGCGCTCCAATAGCTGTGACCTCATCGATCGGGCTGACCATGCCCTTGTATTTGTTCTTGTAGCTGACGCCGAGGAAGGGGCATTTGATGCTGGCCTCGCCGGCGTAGATCGGGGTGAAGGAAGCGGCGCAGATTTCGAGTTCGGTGAAGGTGTCGAATTCGATCTCGAGGGCGTCTTGCGGGTTGCGTTCGGCGACGGCCTTCATTTTCTTGGCCTAGAGACGGAGAGAAAAGGTTAGTGGGTTTGTCAAATGAAATTAGTCTTCGTGGAAATATGGAGAGAGAGCTTACCTGCTCCTTGAACTTCGGGTTGGTGCCTCGCTCGATGAGGGAGTTGGCGAAGTTCACGACGCTGCCGAATTGCCTGTTGCGGTTGGCAAAATTCATTGCAGAGTATAATGCCAAGGTCTGATGGCCGGGGTCGATGGCAGGAATGGTGAAGTAGGCGGACAGCTCCAAGCTCCTCTTCTTGACATCCTCCGGGAGTGAGCTCAGGTCGGTGGCACCACCGGTGATCTTTCTGCGCTCCAGTTCGATCGAAAGAGCGAGAACATATTGTGCAGCTTGGTGAATTGTTTGCTGTGCTTCTTGGACCTGACTTTGTGACGAGACTGCATTAACCATGAGGAGGTGGATTGCCTTCCTGAAAGCGGCCAGAGCGTCTTCCAGCTTGTTTGCTTTCATCGCATTCTTACCGCTGGCAATTTCACCAGCGAGAATGGACTCGAGGTCACGAGGGATGATTGGCAAGAATTTCCTCGAATCAGTGGCGTCAATTGTTCGGCGCACGTAGTTGACCAAAGGTGGCAGACCAGCATTCGCTGGAAGATATGTCCTTGAAGCTTGGTAGATCTCGAGGAACCGACTCTCAAGTGGCTTGAAGTTGACGGCTCCGATCTGTCGGTTCAGCAGGTTCATTGCAGTGTCGAAACTACCTGCTGCAGCGTGGTCAGCTGCCAACGGTGAGTTTCTGGCCCAAATATCTGCTTCGCTGCTGCCAGCGCCAGCTTCGACGCTCTCAACGTTCACGTATGAGTCTTCGACGTCGGGAGCACTGTCCTCACCCATGTCCCAGCCCGCAGCCGCATCGTCTTCATCGCCGTCCTCCTCCAAGGCACCATTCTGCGCTAGAAGATCCTCAGCACCATCATCCTCTTCGAAACCATTCGTGTTGGCGACGGGAGCTTCATCTCCATCAGCCTGTAGCGCTTTCTCGAACGAGCTAGTGCCGGTGGCCTTGGTAGGCCAGTTGGCTTTGTAGGTAGGTGCAACGGCCCGTGGGGCCACTGCGGGCTTACCCAGAGCGGGAAGTGTGACCTCCTCCTCCGTCAGACCGCTTGCTTCAAGAATTGCCTGGCACTCCTCCTCGAGACCGTGTGCCTTGGCTGTGAGATATGCGAGTGGATATTGGTCAATGTCCTTGAGCATGTCAATTCGGCTTTGAGCATCAGAGAGATACACCGAGTTCTGGAATCGGCTAGTGACATCGCCTCGATGCTCAGCGATCTTGGACATTCGTTGAAGTTTCTCCTTGTCACCAGTGGAGAGGTACAGGAATGAGAGTTTGTCGAAGCTGCGCAGTTTCTGGTAAGTCATCTCCACGACTTGATGGTTTCCGTGGGTGAGGGCCTCGGTGCTCAGACGTTGCCAGAGCGGAGGCCGATCAAGCTGCTTCGCCATCTCGACAGCCACATCAAGGTTACCACACTCGATGGCAAGTTCGAATCTTGTCTGCGGATCTTGAACGAACTGCAACGCGATTTCAGGGTAGCCCTTCTTTTGCAAATATGAAATGATGCTCTGTCCAACCAGACTTGAATTTTTGATAATGTTCAACATCTCGTCGTAGTGGCGTTTGACCAGAGCAAGCTTGAAGCGGTATTCTGTTGGGTCGATGGTGAGAACTTTGGGCTTTGCAGCTCGGTCGAGGCAGTAGACGCTCCGACCCTTGACGCGGACAAGATAGACGACATGCTCGAGAGTACGGACGATACCGTTGTCACCGTTCATGAGGGCGTATTTGATGTGGTTGAGGGTGGAGTAGAGCAGGACACCGGCATCGTCCCAAGCAGCGCTCTTGATGCGGATGGTCTCGTGAAGGGTGCTAACCTGCTCCAGAGATTTGTTGATGATGGTCACGTTGTGCTTGCTGAGCAGGGCGGCGTGCAGACCGTCGGACGACCAAACCACGTATTTGACGCCAGCAACAGCCAACTCCGCCAATTGCTTCTTCTGCTGAATATCGTACAAGTAGACGTGGGTAGGGGTGATGAGCAGCAGGCAGCCAGTACCGCCAAACACCATATCCGTGGTTCCGGCAGGCGGCTTAATGGTCTTCGTCGTAGAATTTTGTAGGTCTTTGATGTCGATTTGTTGGTTGCCCTGGTTGAATACAGCGAAACGGTTGCGAGCAACAAACACTGCTGCATTACCCGAGCCTCGGTGAGTGCTGGTCGGTTCCACCGCACCTGACGCATCCTTTGGTAGCGTCATGAGCTCGTAGAGACCGCTGTCGGAAGGAGAAGTTACCAAAATCGACCGCTCAGCTGGGTTGTAAGAAATGGTTCGCGGAGGAACCCATGGACTTCCAATTTTCTTCAATGACAACATCGATGGGCTTTCAAGATTTTTCTGGAAGTCGTATGAGCGGACATGCTTCTCTTTGTTGATGAAAAAGATGTTGTTCTGGTGCACCGCAGAGGCCGGTCGTTCCCGTTCCAACTTGAAGACCATCACACCGTTGTCGTGACCAGCAGCGAACAGGTTGATTTCCGGGTGAGCAGCAATGACCCAGAAGCGATCGTTTTCCCGCTTGAAGGATTGCACCGATGTCCTTCGGTTGAGATCCCAGACGCGAATTGTCTTGTCCTCTCCAACCGAGAGAATGAGATCCTGGTGAGGGTGGAAAAGAGCCGCCGATGCATTCTGGAAATGTCCTCGACATGTGTCCACCTCCCATGCTTTTGTCTCGCTCATGCGCCATAACTTCACAAGCCTGTCATCACCGGCCGAAACGATCAGGGGCAACGTAGGGTGGAACGCAACCCAGTTGACTCCACGATCGTGCCCTTCCAACACGAATTTGACCACCGCATCGGTATTTCCAAACACATCTGCCTGGTTTTGGTTTGCGCGAGCCGCTTGATCCTCGAAAGACATGGACGTCGGCGCTGAGTGTTTCTTGCGAAGACCGGAGATATCCCAGACCCTGACGGATTGATCAAGCGAGGCAGAAACAACGAGGTCCTCTTTGGGGTGGAATTGCGCGCACATGGTGTAGTGATTGTGGCCAGTCATTGTGCAAACTACAATTTGTGTTAGCAAGACGGGTTGCAACCCATTTCCGAATGGAGCAACATACTGAGCGAGCGATTCTGCCAGTTCCATATCCGAATCGTTTGGTCATCTGAACTAGAAATGATCCAAGGGAGCTCGTGGTGGAAAAAGACGGTCCGGACATAGTCCAGGTGGCCGTTGAGTGTGAAAAGGCATCGCCGGGTCTGGTAAGACCAGACTTTGATTTTGTAGTCGTCTGCGCCTGACACAAAGAGAGGTTGAGTTTTGTGAAAGTCAATGCCGCGCACTGGTCCGTCATGCTCTTCGAATCGATCTATCAGGGTTCCCATTCGATAATCCCATAATTGGATAGTCGAGGAGTGTAGAGAGACGAGGATCCATGGTCGTTTCGGGTGAAAAGCGATACCCTTGGCGCGAGATGATTTCGACTCGAACTTGGTGAGCATACTGGGTGATGTGGTGGAAGTCATGGTGGGCTACGGGCAGGGAGCCTCCGCTCCGGGCATCTGCAACGGCGACAATGCAAGACCAAGGCGAGGTTCGTGAACTGGTACAATTCCAGAAAGGCGATCTGAATAGCTTGTCTTCGACTACTCCACAATCTGCGACGGCGCAAAGGTTCAATGGCGAATGCGGTGTGAGAGTTCACCTTGTCGCCAACAGTACACCTGGCAAGCTGTCCGAATGTCCCTGGGGAATTTGTGCCAAGAAGGTGACCCGGGTTGCCCCGTCACGTGAAGTTGATGGCCCCTCGGTGGAGGTTTGTGCCTGAGGTGTGACATGATCACGGTAGGCCGCATTGGACATTGGGAAAGTACGGAATGCTTCACTCATTCCGACCCCACAGCCTATCCGCAATTCAAAAGAGCCCTCCGCATAGTTATCGTGCTGTTCTGTAATATCGTCCAACGGTCTGCACAGATGTTTTTTCTATCACCCGTAGACAGCACCGAAATTCATCTCCATCGGCTGAAGAGTCCCTGAGATGGAGGACAGTTGTGCGTTCCCATGGATGAGATTCGTCACCCTCCATGGGACACCTCCTAGAAGTCACCGGACGGGCTTTGACAATCAAATCTCGGGCTTAGCAACAATCTCCGAGGACCATTTTCTGGTCGTCAGTTTGTGCAGTGAACATCAGGGACAGGTAGAAGCATGGATTGGAGGCATGCGATATACGTGAGGGATTCATTGCAATCAGACAACTCATAGACAGGAGATGAACAGCGCCATGAGCGTCTTCACACTGGGCCCGGTGAGCAAAAATAGTGCATGTCGTAGAGTCTGAATGCTTACGATCCGATATCGTCGTCGTTGTGCGATAATGGGGCTGTAATCGGAGTAATTATTCCAGACAGCACACAGCCAATCCCGGAAGGTAGACACACGAGGCGTTGAAAGAACGACATTCGGAGCGCTAGTTCAGCCTCGCCAACATGGATACTCGAGAGGAGTGTAAGCACATCATACATTCCAAGGTTTTCATTCCTCCCACGCCTTCACTCCCTCCATCCAATCACTTCACGTGGACACGGAGGACATACGATGATGATGACGACGGAAATCCTCCCATCCCATCATCTTCTTCTGCTACAGCTGATGATGATCCTCCAGCCGCACCAAGCTGGGGCGTGGTGTCGCGCGAGCGCACGCGGCGTATCTGTCTCCCACACGCACAACATCGTCCTTCGGCGCCGAACCTTGCAGCTGGGCAGCGGCGCCAGCTTCGGTGTGCAGGGCCTGGAAATAGATGGGATGGCGTGGATGGTCCCGCCAGCTGCACGGCGGATCCATTGGGCTCCAAGCAAGCGTCGGTCTTGCACCCGAGCGACATGGCCAGTTTCCGACGCCGCCGCCGATGTTCTCCGGAGCGATGGACGTGCGCAGACACGATGATGACCGACATGATTTCGCAACTGGTTCGATTTTTAGTCCTTACTTTTGTTTCAGCTATTATAGTCCAGATAAGAGATAGTTTGTGCGTGGGAGTGAAGGAAGCGAGAAAATCTTTTTGGCCCTCGTGGCACAGTCGCGGTGGTTGTGGAGTCGGTGGTTTGACGGTTGTCGTCACGGAAATCTGCATTGTCGTTATCGCCCACGAATACGTGAGAGTGCCCCGCTCCTGCCCGCTGTCTGGGGTGTGTGTGTGTGTCTGTTTGACTATCGGTCGGTCGGTCGGTCTGCCTGTCCTCGGGCGTTGTCCAGCATTCATTACAGTATCATCGTGGAAGGAGGCGAGAAACCGGGTGTCCTCGTCTGGGATCGTCTCCTCATCTCGCTCCATTCTCGGGATGTTCATCTACTTCGCTGTCGGTACCGGTCGGTCGGTCGTTCGGTCAGCGTGGCAGCCGATGAGAGGTCGAATCGACCGCAGTGCGCAGTCATCATCAGCCCTGCAGTCCGCGTCGTTGGGTGCTCCAACATTGCCCAGGTGGCAGAGAGAGAGACGCCTCCTGCAGATTTTCATTTCCGATCAGGCTGCTGTACAGGAGATCCGACGCCAATTGCGCAGCAGCAGTCACAGACGGGAAGAAAAGAAAAGAGAGAGCGGTCCACACGGCGGGTCCTTGACCTACAGTATCCACACCAACTGTCCCCAATCACTGTAATCTCTCTCCAAAACGTGCTGCAAGCCGAGTGCAGCAGCCAGCTGCAGGGTTGAACCAAGCGAGCAATCAAGCCAGCAATCAACCTCGCACCCATCATTACTTTCACGGCTCGCTCTCTTTGCCCGGGCGTGCCAGGCTTATTACCTAGCAGGCCTAGGAAAAGATTGGAGGTGGTGGTAGTGGTGGTGCACCGCCTGCCCGCAGACACAGCAGAACACATACAGTCGACACTGCAGAGAGAGAGAGAGGGAGGGAGGGAGCGTGTGTGTGTGTGTGTGTTCCTCATTCAGCATCATCGTCATTCCGGCTGGTTCACCCAACAGTGAGGTGTCCCTCTATTTTCCCTCTCAAATCCTCACTCCGCCGCCGCCCAGGTGCTCGCTCATCATCAGTACATTTTCAGTCCCACCACCACCAACTGACACTCAACGGTACGGTGCACTTACTATGATAAAACACCACTCCAAATCCCTCCCTCCCCACCATCGTCGTCAATCACGACGATAACGCGAGCGTAACCGCCGCACATAGTCCCGATTACAGCACAACTTTTTTTTTCTCGCTCTCTGGTGATGAATCCACCTGCAGCATCCTAAACACCACTACTGCACCATTCAAAGTCGTGCATTGGTGCCCAAAGGCAAGGCTTCCCACCTTTTCACCACCACCACCACCACTGCAACAACAATTCCCACACAATCTCCCATACATTCTCCCAGTCCAGCACTACAGCAGCATCGGACTACTGCGCGCTGTCGTCTTCCCTCGCCTACTCCAGTCCCAAGGACTTTCTTGTCGGCTGAGGATCTGCTCGCCTGCACTGCCGGCAACTTTATTCTCGTCATATAAGCCCTGTCCCTCACCACCGGCCGCTGGTAATAACTCTGGGCCGTTGTCCACTCCCATTCTTTCTTCCTTCCTTCCTCCCTCTCACTTCTTTCCTCTTTCATCGCTCGGCCTCGCTGCAAACCGTTGTTGTCGCCTGCCTGATCTGTACTCTCTCGTCCCACTGATCGCTCGGAACTACCTCCCTGCGAATCCGAACAACCCGCTCCCGTTTCCTCTTACCCATCGAAGATGCTCTTGCGACCTTTCCAGAGACAGAATTTCATCGTCAAGAAACACCATCGACTGGACCCGAACCGGATTGCTCCATCTGACGTCCGCTGAAAGAAACACCCAACCGTCCTGGGCTCGCAGAAGCCTCACCACTCCTTCTATCTGATATATGCCTATATCACCACTCACCAACACCGACACCGATTACAGTACGATGGTGGGGATCCTCAAATCCAACCCGGCGGGTCTCGCCAGCAGACCCCACACCCCACCACGTACACCACGCAAGGCTATGAATCCGTCACTGTCACGGGCTCACTCGCCAGCATCACGAGCGAGCTCCGTCCATCCCTTCGAGACCACCAGTCCCGTGAGGAAGGTCATCAAAGTCTTGGTCGAGGATGACATTGAAGTCATCGAACTCCCCAACGACGAAACATCCAACACCATCTCGGACGCCGAATTGGTATACCCAGAGAGCTCGGAAGAGCCATCGAGCGAGACGGAAGATGACGAAAACGACGAAGACGATGAAGACGACGATGATGATGACGACCAATCCGACGCTGACGACGAAGATGACGATCACGAAGACGAAGACGAAGACGACGATGATGACGTCTCCTCCCAATGCAGCGACTCCAGCACCAGCGAGATCGCCCTCGAGCTCTCCGGCCTCCGCTGCAGCGACAAGCAAGAGCTGAGATTCCACGAGACCCGGCAACAGCGGCACCGGGAGAAACGTCGGGACTCCCGCGTCTACAAACGCTCCCACAGCATAAGTGCCAAGAGCGAGTCCGGAAACGTGGACCCCGACGCCATGGACGATCACGACTGCCCTGTGGCCCAGCGTCGTCTGCGTAGACGTACCCGTGGACCGGGAGATTTCGAGTTCGACCTCGAACGACTGCAGGCCAATACCATCATGCGTGGCGGCCCTGTCGGTCTGCCACCTCACGTCAACAGACTGGTCGCGGTCGAGCGTTTGTGATGACGGCCATGGTCGTGCTCATCAGAACCTACGGCACAGCAGATGGATGCAGATATGATTCTATCCTCCCCGTGGAATGCATCATTGCTCCGTCGATGCCCTAAGGGTCTTCACCGGATGTTCTCCTGCTCGTCATCTCCATTTCTCCTCAAAGGAACTAGCGAGGTGACGTACATCCGCTGGCAACCCTTGATTTTCACTTTGCTGTTGCAACCCTGTTGTTTGATCTCTTTCTTGACCTTGTTGCCTTTTGATGAAATTATGTCTTTCTTCCGCGATTTGTCTTGCTTTTTATTTTCACTCAACTCTGGGGATTGTCGTTCGAGGAGGATGAGATGGGGCATGCACGCATGCTTGCCGAACTGGAGCTATTCCATGGGACGCCGCTGCTGCAGATCTGGACTTGTGATTGCTTTTCCATCTTCGTCAGATCGGAAGGACTCGATGATATATAACATACGAATCTCGAATTTCCTCCACTGCTCGCGTCGCGTATTTCGTCTTCCTCCCCTCCGTGTACGCTAGCGTGGGTCGCTGCAGGTGGGCCTCCCATGTTGCCCAGCTGCCACTTCACGCGCGGCGCGTCGCCTCCATGCAAACACATCTTCCGCATTCTCCTCCCGCCGTTGATTCCTCACCACGCCTTTCATTCCACACAGTCATGAACAACGCGTCCGTGGCTCGACTCAAGTCGCGCAAAGCCAGCGCAAACCGACAATCGCTCGCCTCGCGATGGAACATCAAAATCTTGCGTGCTCTGGAAGCGGAACTTAAAAAACACACCGAAGCCGACATTTCTTCACTTCCCCCACGAGACTACTCGGACGCTCGACAGGCATGCAAAACAGAAGGTACCCCTTGCCAGCAGCGTGTCGATGCCAGATGGCAGGCTGATTGAAGTTGGCTCCTCGCTTCGAAGAGCACCAGCCGCCCGATTGCGACGTTTCGTTTCCCGATGATGACATCCGCTCGAAAACTCTTCAGGTGCGAGGCTGCCTAAAGTCAAGTTTGGTTCGCAAGGTTGGTAATATTCCGGGTGCCTTGTGGGTTTGCAACTCGACTCGGAACGAAGTCTTCAGGCGCAATCCAAAAGTACCTTGATTGTAGAATGACCTCACCAACATAATAATTAGCGGTGAGGACTTTATTTATGAACTACCTAGGTATCTATGGAGACCGATTAGATTCCGGCCTGAGGCCGCTGGTCACTCGGATGCCTTGGGCATTGAACAACAATGTCAATACGAGGACATCCAGAAGGCGGGAGCACAGGTGTGCAAACGCTGGGGTATTCGGGTGGACAAGCTACACACACAGAGGTATAGGCCTGAAATGCGATGTCTACCGCATAATCTCTTCGTAGATAAGTTCTATATCAAATCATTAGCAGTGGCCTCGAACCGAAATGTCAGGACAATCAACTCGAAACTCACTCTTCAATTGTTCCTTGCTCAAATTATCCTTCTTCTTGTCGAAATCGAAGAACTCCTCCGGAATGGGATCCGCCGTCGGCTCATCCTCCGGGTCGTGGTAGGGCTCGAGGTAAGGGTGCTTGAGCGCGTCCTCCACGCTGATGCGCTTGACCGGGTTGAACGCCAGGAGCCTCTCGAGCAGATCAAGAGCCAAGTCGGAAGTCTTCGGGAACATGACCTTCCACGGAATCTTCTTCTTGAAAGGCAAGCTCCGGATGTATTCCCGTGCACGGCGCGATTTGATGCCGTAGTAGTCCTCCATGGTGGGTGTTCCCAGAACGTCCAGGATCAGGGTGAGTTGGTGGTGGTAGTCCTTTCCGGGGAAGAGGGGCTTGCCGCTGAGCATTTCGGCGAGAATGCAGCCGACGGACCACACGTCGATGGCCTTTGTGTATTCCTTGAAGGTCAACATGATCTCCGGCGCACGGTACCAACGTGTAGCAACGTATTCCGTCATGAAGCCTTGGTTGTCCTCTGTGCTGGCGGCGGAACGGGCGAGGCCGAAATCGCAGACCTTGAGATCGCAGTTGGCATTGAGAAGTAGGTTGGAAGGCTTGAGATCTCGGTGGAGCACATTGGCCGAGTGTAGAGCCTTGAGGGCGCGTAGTGTTTGGTAGATGAAGTATTGGCAGTGGTCGTCGGAAAGCTCCTGTGTGCGAATGACGCGGTGCATGTCCGTTTCCATCAGCTCTTGAATGAGGTAGACCTCGCTGAAAGTCTCATAGTTGCGCGGCTTTTGGATGTCGAGGATTGAAATGATGTTCTCGTGGTTGAAGTACCGTAGTAGCTTCATCTCTCGCAGCGTTCGTAAACAGAACATGGAGTGGTCGAATGGTGTGATCTTTTTGATGGCGACTTTCTGGCCCGATGGTTTGTGTAGCGCCGAGCACACGACACCGTAAGCTCCCTCTCCAACGACGTCTTGGATGTCATACTGCTCCGACACATTGAAGGAGATCTTTCTCGAACCTCCCGATGCACCCACCGGTGCAGCCGGAGCGGCGGCTGGCGCGCCTGCAGCAGGTCGAGCGGCCATGTTCGCGGACGGTTGACGTTGCGTGTGTCGCGATGTGAGCTAGTTTCAGACAATGCGACAAAGAGGGCTTCGAGGCGAGATGGGTGTTTCTCCAGACGAGTGATTGTGAGCGGTTTGGTCCGTTTGACGGCGGCGAGGACGAAAGCCAAATTGCGGCGGAGGCGGGGCAAAGCTGTGAGTGTATATCGGCCGAGCTGGTGGGGCAGAACCGTGTTGGTTTGCACAAGCGTGTCGCTGGCTGTGGCGAAAGATTGACGGGTGAAGTGATGCGACGGCGACAATGTGACCGAACCTGTTGGGATCGTTGTCTGTATATGAAAGGATGAATATCGAGAGATAAAAGAAGAGGTAATGAGATGAGAGAGACCCGGAGGATACTAATAATCAAGAAGGGGTGTCGGGGTTGGGTGACCACACAATCATCAATCAATAATAGTCGCGCGGGCGAAGCGGGCGACCTGCTTGTTAGGCAGGGCCCTGAAAGCAGCACTGGAGGTAGGTATCTTGTACTGGTGCAATGCACATACTGTAGCTCCGCTTCTGAAACGACACCACCGCGAAACCCACACATACCTCTCTCTATCCCTTTCTGCTCATCATTGGCGTGTCCTCTGCATACAGGCCACCACTCATGGGAGTCTCCTCCTCCTCCTCATCCTCCTCATCCTCCTCATCCTGCACGTCCGCGCCGCATGCAAGGCTGTCCTGCTAGTCTGCGATCTGGGCCACCTGGAAGACGGGCGGGAGAAAAGGAAAATGTGCTGAGAAACGTAACAAAGCGCCGCGAATCATCACGGCGGTTGTCGCACATGTCGACCAGCTGCATCATACCGTCTCCCTGCTCCTCGTCCAAGCTGCGACCCGTCATGCGGCCAGGTTCGAGTCGTCAGGCTGCATCGAGCAAGGTGAAACGAGAGAATTATCCACCAGTAGCGATACACATACATACCTGGATACATCCGTGTGTGAGTGCTAGCTCGCTTCATGAGCGCTTACAGTGTGCGCTGCGTGTGATTCGTTCACTTTTTTCGTATCTGTCTAGCGAGTGACGAGGGAAGAAACTCTGCTAACAAAGGCTAACGAGATGCTATATCTGGAATCGCTTTGTATTGTTCCCGAACACTGTCGTGGCTTGTCCTGTTGGTGACCCCCGACCGGCGCCGATAGGAAACGCCCATTGGGGGCGTTGATTCGCTGTCGCATATTGCCGCTTCATCAGAAGAGGATCGCCGCTAGGACAAATGGCCCGCATTTCAGGGCCAGGGAGGGCGCTAATAATAAGTATTTACATCACTTGGACTGGACCCACCTGGGAATGGAGTGTATACAATAAATTTTCTGACCTGCGACCTGCAAACACGCGCGCATTTCGCGCCGCACGTGGATGGCTCGGCACGTTCGGCTTGCTCTGATGGACACTGATGGAACAGGCTCCAGGAGCAGGAGACTCGAAGGCCATCCACATCGGACAAATTTCATCCAAAAGTTTGATCAGATTCATAAGGCCATTTCGGCTCATTGCTTTTCGTAGCCATCGTCTGTTGTACATTAAAAAAGAAAGAAAGGGTTTTCAAACCGCCGCAAACGTGCACTAAAAAAAACAGGTACGCCCGAATGATCAGCACTCACTCGACATGGAGTATTCACCATGTCGTGAGTACCTTCGGGTATTCCTTGCTTGAGATTCCTAGGTCAGCAAATACGGTATCGTCGCCGCGCAAGTTATGCACACGATGCTCGTCTTCCTCTTCGAGCTTTTCAAGTTCCTCCTGTGGTGTCTCCTTCTTTTCGTCCTTCTCATCCTTCGCAGCCGGCTCAAGATTATTACTAGACTCGAAGTCCTCTCCGATGAGAAGCACCTGGGCATTGGCATAGTCGAGATGTTTCGGCTGAGCAGGCATCCAGCCACGACCCCGGAATTCTTCGAAAACTTCGTCGGGGAATTCGGCGACCTCGGGGAGTTGAGCATATGAAGGTCCACCCGACTTGGGATTCTTCAGACTCATGACGAAGCTGCCCTTCTCTGCAAGGCCGAGATCCCGCTGGACCTCTGAGATCTCTGCCGGAATGGTGAGCATGTAAACGAGGTGCGTGGTTCCATGGCCGCCTCCGGTAGTCGTCATCGCATAGACTCCCTCGCCCACAGGCGTGATCTCAGGTGTCGACCTCACTCCTGCCGTCTTGGTGTTGTACTCGGAGCCGGAGAAGAACTCTTTCTTGAGGGTGTCCATGTCGACTTTCGCTTTCTCGACGAATGCCATGAAGCGATCCTTTCCACTCTTCGGCCAGACCTTCTTGGGCAATGCGAACAAACGATTGTTCTTCATGTCGGGAATTGCGCCATCGGTGAGTTTGGCGCCCTGTGGTAAAGGCCTCAAGACGAAAGAGCTGCGTGCGATGTCCTGGACGCTATCCGGGTCATCGACACCAACTCTGCCGCGAGTGAAGAAGTGGATGATGCCCTTCTCGAGGATATTCGACGGCATGGCCTGTTCGCGGGATGAGTCCTTCTCGACAGCATTTCCTCCGACATCTCCGCTGGACCCTCCATTGGCTTGTGGCTTCGACTCTTCGGTCTCGGACTAATGAATTGTCAGTGCATGTGAGTGCTTCGAGCAATTGCACTTAACTCACTGTGGCTGAGTCTTGCTGAATGGACTTTTCCTTGTCATCATGTGCTTTCTCGTCTTTGTGCTCTGAGCCATTCGCTTCAGCGTCACCAGCCTGCTTCCCTTCTGGTTCATCGTCACCATCAATCTCCATATCGTCGTCATGTTTCTCATCCGATGCTTCCCCGGTGTGACCATTGCTCTGCTTTGCCTCTGACTTGTTCGCTTGGTCTTCGCCATTGAGCTCTTGTGCTACAGCTTCATCGCTCGGCATGCTCTCCTCCAGAGTCTTCTGTTTCTTGGCACCTGTATCACGCTTGGCTTTGGTCGCTGTCGGGCTGGTGACTTCATCGACCTTGCGCTTTGTGCCAGACACGCTGGAGTCAGATTTGGGACTGGCATTGCCGCCCTCTTGCGAGCGTGCTGATGATCGTGTGCTCGGCATGGTCGCGACACTTTATCAGGTCATTAGCGTTGCAAATCTTGAAAGTATCATGACAGTACCCAATGATTAAACCCTACCTTGAAGTGATAATGGAAGTTGATGTCAGGGAAGCAACGAGGCACAGATGTGAAGGCAAGGTTAAGTATTGTTGAGGAAAGAAAGGGAATGTTACAATCAAACATTTATCAGAATATAGCTATCACTTATATCATCATTGTGCTACATCACATGCTCATAGGGGTGTCATGGTTTTGTGGGAAATACAGTAGGCAATCGCGTGGTGTCGCGTTGGATGAGCATCCATTGGCGGGCAATGATGAGGTCATTGCAATTCACACCTCGAACACAAGTTGATCTCGCGCGTCTGCACGTGCACTTTACGCGTCGAACCCATTTCAGACTTCTTCTCCTCAAATTCCATGACATGTGGAGTCTCTCATATCCCGTCATATGCGACCCTGCAGGGTGGCGTCTCCATCTCGTCTGATCAATCTTGTGTATATCATCCACATTTTGATCGATGATCAAACTGGCGTCTTATCTCCTGAGAGGCAGCGCTGGGAACCGTAGGCGGAGGAAGTATTTGGTGGCAAATAGGCGTTTTCCAAGCACATGAAGCTTGCGCATATCGAACGAGAGTCGGCATGTATATTCAGCTTAGCACTGATGATACGACCACTCTCACAGTCACGTGAACTTGCCATGGCGTCTTCATTCCGGTGTCAGATGTGCGTTCATTCCAAATGTCGGAATAACCATCAAAGTCGCGTGGTTGAAGACGTCGTCGGGGGTTGTATCCCTCTGAGAGATGATCTCAACACTACATTTCCATCCCAACATCTCAGGGATATTCCTTACATCAGCTCGATTGCACATTCGATGAACCAGTGCTTCTGTCTTCCATTTCGGAATCATGATCAATCAATACGTGCGTGATCAAAGAGTTTCCTTTGGACAATGGATGTACATGTACCCAACAGGTGTGCTATTAGGGTTGTACTTGGGCTTATCTATAACCCTAACATACGATCTGACCTCGCCAAGATACTTAGGTAGGTATGTTTCCATGGACGATTCGCATCGAAGTTGGACGGTACCTAGGTAGTCTCGAAAGATCGGAGAACTGATAAGACCGAGCGGACTTGTGAGTAACCACTTCGCGAATTGTCCTTGGTTCTTACTGCTCATGGTGGACCACATCGTTGAAACGGGGTCAGACATGGTAGCCCTACAGAGGAAATCGGGATGAAGTCACTGTACAGTAAAGTGTTAACAAATTTTGAGTACTTTCTTCGCAAAGCTTTCGAATTTCAGTGAACATTAAATTAATATTTGATCATTCCTTCATAACCTGCATCCGAGCACAATCCCATTCAATCGAAACAGCAAGTCAAAAATTCAATCATTCCGTCTAGAAAAGGGCAAGACCTGCAAGAGCGACGGCCATGAGGGGGCCGGCAACAATCTTGCTAGCATCGCCGCGGGATGGCTGGACGGTAGGAGTGGTACCAGCTGAAGTGGTGGTGGGAACGCCGCCGGAAGAGGTCTTGGTGGTGGAGGAGGAGCCGGTCGGGACGGAGCCGGAGCCGGAGGCGGAAGACGAACGGTGGTGAGAAGCGGATGCGGAAGCCGAGGGGTGGCGAGAAGCAGATCGGGAAGCCGAGTGGTGGTGAGAGACGGAAGCGGAGGAGTAGCCACCGGGCACCCTGGTCCATGAGGAGGGAAGGGGAATGGGGGTGTAGTGGACCGGCGCAGAGGTGCTGGCGGTGGTGCTGCAGCTGGTGGTGGAGGTAGGAGTGACGAGGGTCAACGAGCCCGCGGTAGAGATGCAGCTGGCTCCGCCAGGGTAGCTGTGGGCCGGGTTGCAGGCATAAGTGACGGTAGTAGGGACGGCAGTAGTGCTGCAGCTGGTGGTGGAGGTAGGAGTGACGAGGGTCAACGAGCCCGCGGTAGAGATGCAGCTGGCTCCGCCAGGGTAGCTGTGGGCCGGGTTGCAGGCATAAGTGACGGTAGTAGGGACGGCAGTAGTGCTGCAGCTGGTGGTGGAGGTAGGAGTGACGAGGGTCAACGAGCCAGCGGTCGAAATGCACTTAGCGCCGTTGGGGTAGCTGTGAGCCGGGTTGCAGGCGTAGGTGGTGTATGCAGCAGGAGTGGTGGGAGTGACGAGAGTCAAGGAGCCCGCAGTGGAGATGCAGCTGGCTCCGCCTGGGTAGCTGTGAGCTGGGTTGCAGGCATAGGTAGTAGCGGCGGCGGTGGTGGTAGGAGTGACCAGAGTCAAGGAACCGGCAGTTGAAATGCACTGAGCGCCATTGGGGTAACTGTGAGCCGGGTTGCAGGCATAGGTGGTTGTCGGTGCACCATAGTTGGCTTGAGCAGCAGCAACGCCAGCAAGGGCTGCCATTGGGACAGTGTTGTACTTCATGTTGATAGAAGACAGCGAACGTGGAGTGAAGAAGCGAGTGTGATGTTGCGAGAAGGTTGATGTGGGAAGCCGAGGCTGCTGTGCTGAAGAGTGATGAAGGTTGATGCCGAAGATAAATTTCGAATTCGTTGAGGCATTGCGGCTTTATGTATCGAAGACGACCTTGAAGTGTGTCGGCAATATTCATGCATAAGCTCTTGTTTACAGTAGCTCTGAATCAATCGGCATCGATGTCATACCCAAATAAAGCTTTGTAAAATCGGGTGTTGTTACATCGGTCCAAGCTAGGTAAGGCTAGCCTTGAAGGTTTCATTGAGGCTTCACCAGTTGGGCAGACAATTGCACCCGACTTAGTGGAACGGTCCAATCCCGAATACGAGCCAGGCCCGTTCACGTGGAGAAGCGGACCAGCTTTTTCCTTTGCTTCGTGCCTGGATGTTGGAAATCTGGCGCAACATGGGGAATAGCCATGCATGTTCATGACCGAAAAGCCTTGAAGAGCCGGGATCATCGTGAAGATTTGTTGGAAGCTACATGCATCGCCTCACCATCGGATGCTCCGCGCATGTTCCTCAATCGTGCTACTTGGGACGTTACTATTCCTCTTCCAACTAGAGGTTCTCACATGTCAAAAAGAATGTGAGGACAGAGCGCACGCACCATCGGTGTCTTTGGAATGTCACCAGGATCTGAACCACAAGGCCCCTTGTCGAGACTTTGTGACTTCATCGAATGACCATCGACGAAGTACGATGAATCATCGGAGGGTGCATTTGAGCACTCACACGTCCAGATGGTCGTGTTGATGCCATATTATTCGGCTAAGATCATATCAAGGGTGGGGTTGCAAATAGATGGCCGGTCGGAAGAGAATTTTTGACCGGGCCAGAGCCCTACTACTGTACTAAGCTGTGGGCCGTCATTTGCCTGCAGCAGAAGCGGTCGTGGATTTCATGCGCACCTGCAGGTCGGGCGAAAAGGCGCATGCGATTCAGGGTCAAAGTCTCCGGATATGCATGCAGGTTGCTTGTTGAAGCCCCGTGCAGATACGAGGTCACCCAGAATGATGTACGTACAATGATGCCCGTATATCGAAAGATGCAGGTATTCTCCTCGGTGTGACGTGTGTCTCGGATGCGCTCGCGGTGGCGTCACCGGTGTTCAAGGGCCGTCAGTGGCTTTTCCTCGTTGCTACCGTGGTTATGCTCAGTGGCTTGCGCTAGGTTCGGAAGGACATAAAAATAGAAGGACGGGAGAAGCTTGTCGTGACCTCCACGGTTCCAGCCATGGGCATGTCACCTACCATCTTGCACTGCTACTGTGACCAATAATGTATGATCGATATCATTCTGGCTGACATCGCCATCAACGCATGGTCGGTGTAGTGCAGTACTACAGAGCCTCATTCGTGTGCGGCGATCACGAGTGCTTAAGCCCAAAAGCCTCACCTGTAAATATATCTAGCGAATACGACCGCCGCCGACAGCCAGCGCCGGCTGTGCCCTACCTAATGTCTCAGCTAAATCCAGGCACCCCTGCAGAATTAATTCTCGCCCACGATCGCCTTTCGTCTGCAATAGGCGCAACAGCCCCATCGGCTTTATCTATCTTCACACGATAGTGGAAGTGAACAAGTGAACGGCCGACGGTTATATTCATCTACAGATCAAGATACTGCAGCCATATCGCTCCACATGTGATGTTGTCAGTACACCAGGTTTCCGTCACCTTGTGGGCGAGCATGAGACTTTTGCTCCATCACGGGTTTCTGGTTCAACATAAACCATGACTTAGATGTGAGTGCTCTCGAAGGGACTCTCCGGCGGCATGTATGATTGCGGACCTCGGGAATATGGATTATCTCGATTCACGGAAGCAATATTCCTCGTCTATTCATTCTCATTGCGGTCACAACGGCCGTTGCTGTCTCGCGGAACGGCTGTGCCAAGTAATGCTGTCGGAGACCCGGAGCCGTCAAACGTTTCATTGCACACATGTGATGTGTGCTGCACTGTAGGATGCGGAGCAAGCCCCTACTGTTGAGCATTCGCAACATCACTGTGTTTGAGCGCGCGTTGTCGGGAGATTGCTGCATGAACCATGACAGGATTACTACAAAATGGACCTTTGAATTTTGTCGAGTAAAATGTCGCCGAGCGAGAGTGATCCTTTGTGGGAAATTCCTGTTCCTACAAAAATGAATTACCATCGTGAAGGAACCGAACAAAAGGATGATGCGTACGCTCCAGGGCTGTTGTGAAAATGGCCCCGCTGCTTACTCATCATTGCATCGCGGCGAAGCGGCAAGGCGGGCATGGAGGCGGGTGCCCGCATTTCATTCATCTCCATGTGTGAATTTGTGGAGAGCAATCAATTCTAGCAAATAGTCTACTGTGCATCTTCGAAAGTGGCGGTTTGCGCAAGTGAATGGCTTCATTGTGAATTCGCTCTGCGCAACCACTACTCAGCCTCTTGAAAAGCGATTGAGATACGACTTGTGGACTCCGCGACTATCTAGGAACAGCACACACAATCACGTTTAGCCATCTCCCGGAGCTCCAAAGTCAGCTGCGAGGCTCGCCGACTGCTGCCGAAACTCATCGGAGGACGCCGCCCGCGCTGCAGTATCGAGAGTGAAAGCACCCATGGATATCAATTAGGTCCATTCACTTTCAGCACACGTCAACGTCGCCAACATGGCATCTCTGGCTGGCAGAGGTAAAACCAAGATTCGTGCACCACGCAGAGTGAGTATTGCCGCTCTTTCACATGCAATTTCGACATTTGCACTCTTCCTTTCTGTAAAACAAGCTCTTGACCGGCCATACTGCCACAACTATCTCTGCTTCTTCCTCTCCAAGCGTCACTCGCTCTCGCTGCTCACCTTGTTGTTAAAAGTTACTGACATATGGCGTTGCGACTAAAGGGTCTGAATGGCGGCGACGTTGATTTTGACCAACACTGGTCAGTCCTCGAAAAAGCTTTCGTAGAAGTGTTCACCAAGAATGCGTCGATTTTGTCATTTGAAGAGCTCTACAGAAACGCATACAAAATTGTGTTGAAGAAGCAGGGCGCAGATTTGTATAATCGGACAGTGCAATTCGTCGAAAAATGGTTGTCAGAAACGATACGAGCGCGTGTCGTGCAAAAGCTTGGGAACTTGGCGAGGTCAAACGACAACCTTTCGCGCAGTTTGGGAACGTCCTCGGAGCGGCGAGTGGCTGGTGAAGGTTTTCTGGCGGAGCTCAAGCTTGCATATTCTGATCACAAGACATGTATGGCGATGGTCACAGATGTGCTGATGTACATGGTAGGTGGAATCGTGCGAAGATAGATATCTGCGTCAATGGAATTGCTGACAGGAATGACTACAGGATCGAGTCTATTGCGCTGATCAACGTCAACCGTCAATTTACAACAAGTCAATGGGCTGCTTCCGGGAGCAGATCCTGCGCAGCAGAATCACCACAGATGATGACATGGCAGACCTTCTCTCGATTCTGAATAGCGTCATCCTCGATCAAGTACAGATGGACCGGGACGGCGTTGCAATCGACAAACATCTCATCAAATCCAATGTCTACATGCTGGAGGCGTTGTACATGACCGAGCAAGAGTTGGAAGAGGAGAAGCTGTACCTTCGGTTCTTCGAAGAGCAATTCTTGCAGACAAGTGCAGAATTCTACCGTCAAGAAGCGGACCGTCTTCTGAAAGAGACCGATGCCGGGACATACTGCCGTCATGCCAAGAGTCGGCTGGACGAGGAAAGCGATCGATGTCGGTCGACCTTGTCAGAAGGTACTGCTCCAAAGATCCAGGCGGTGGTCGAGGCCGAACTCATCCAGAACCGCATCAAGGCTTTGATCGACATGGACAGTGGAGTGCGCTATATGATCGACAACGACAAGCTTGCTGATCTTGGTCTTGTCTTTGATCTGCAGCGACGAGTCGACGCGAAGAAAGCCGAGCTCACAAGAGCCGTTCAAGGGATCGTTCGGGAGATGGGCGAGGACATTGCAAAGGCTGTAATTACGGCCGCGCAGGCACCACCAGCTGCTTTGACGGCTGCCCCGGAAGAAGGAGAGGGTGACAAATCCAAAGCTGGTGCTACGAGACAAGTCAACCAGCAGACAGTCGCTGCATTGAAGTGGGCAGAAGACACACTCACACTCAAAGACCGCTTCGACAAGATCTGTAAGGATGCATTTCTGGACGACCAGGTCATGTCGACGGCGCTCACCAAGAGCATGGCGGAGAATATCAATTCATTTCCAAGAAGCTCCGAATACATTTCTTTATTCATCGATGAGAACATGAAGAAAGGTGTCAAGAACCGGACGGAAAAAGAAGTCGATGTCACGCTGGACAAGGCCATTGTGCTTTTGAGGTATCTCCAAGATAAGGACATCTTCGAGACTTACTACAAAAAGCATTTATGTAAGAGATTATTACTGAGCAAGAGTCAGAGCCTGGATGTCGAGAAGCAGATGATCATGCGCATGAAGATCGAGCTCGGCAACAACTTCACAACCAAACTAGAAATCATGTTCAAAGATATGACTCTTAGTGAAGAGCTGACTAACAACTACCGCAAGCGTTTGGCGGATGCCGATCCTAAACGTATAGACTTGAGTGTGAACGTCCTCACCAAGATGTCATGGCCGCTCGAGGCATTCAAGGCCAATGCGGAAGATGATCCCGATGGAAAAGTCAGCATCATCTATGCACCGGAGGTGGAGAGGGTCAAGAATGGCTTTGAAAGCTTCTATGCCAGCCAGTATACCGGTCGCAAGTTGACCTGGCAAACGAACATGGGAGATGCTGACATCAAGGCCACGTTTGCGGCCAAATCCGGCACCAACGGCAAGCCACGGGTACACGATATCAACTGCTCTTCCTACGCCATGCTGGTATTGCTCTTGTTCAACGACACCACGCCTGGTGCAACTCTCACTCTGGAAGAGATCCAGGCCAAGACGAACATTCCCATCAATGCTCTGTGCCGTAATCTTCAAAGTCTGGCCGTGGCGCCCAAAACACGTTTCCTCGTCAAAGAGCCAATGAGTCGAGATGTCAAACCCGGCGACCGCTTCTCCTTTAACGAAAACTTCACCAGCAAATTCACTCGCATCAAAGTCGGCGTGGTATCCGCAGGCAACAAAGTGGAAAGCGATAAGGAGCGTAAAGAGACGGAGAAGAAGAATGACGACAATCGTTCGTTTGCGATCGAGGCGGCGGTCGTGCGGATCATGAAGTATGTTTTTCTCCCTCCTAAATGCCACTTCTGGCGCAAAATCGGGTCAAATTACGTGTACTAATCTCAGACATCCACAGGTCTCGCAAGGAATTATCCCATGCACAACTGCTTCAGCAGACGATCGAGGTTCTCTCTCATCAGTTCAAACCGGATGTCAACATGATCAAGAAGCGAATCGAGAGTCTCATCGAGCGCGAGTATCTCGAACGTATCGAGGAGGCGGCTGTTCCATCTTACCGCTATCTGGCATGATGTGAAACGCGCCACGCGGTTCAGGGGGAATTTCGGGTTCTGATTTGTCACGGCATATCTTCGAGGAAATACGGCGTTTTGGTTTTGGTCCTGTGAGGCCCGCACGGCTGGTGTGACAGGAGGAGACTTCTCGGTGGCGGCACGGTTTTCTTGTCGCTTCATCCTCTGGCCACGCGAGATGATGCTTGTTTCACGAGAGAAGGGACACCGCAATTTTGTGAATTTTTTAATGCCCGTGTAAACCAAGCGTAGGCGCTCAGTGGCGTAGATTTGGGGAAAGCCAGTCCGATGGATTGAATATAATTTTGAAATCTCCTGCTTTGTTCCTCGCAGTCAGCTCCTAACATCACACTCCAGGGCTGTCATCATATAACTCTTGCGAGTTCTCCGGTATCATTGGGTCGTTTGGGGAATTGGAGGATTGGGTGCGTGCTCCATGTGCGGCATAATGGTGAAACACGCGTGGAGATGCGAGCCACGCTGTGTGCCGTCACTAACATACTTATCACGGTCGGCTTGCTGTGACGTTGATCAAAAGACACCATTGTTTATCATCAATGTCATCAATAATAATAATCGTGTAATGTCATCACCGGAAGAAAGCTGTTGTTACACATACGGAGATTGAAGACAGATTGGGATAGGCAGGCCGATAGTTTTCGAAATTCTACTTTGCACAGTACTACAGCAACGTCCCGAGAGGTTTCCGATTCCCTTCCCCTGTTGATTTAGAGCTCGGGCTGTTCATCACAATCAACTACCACTACTACTATATGAGTCCAGTAGGAAATGTGCCTGTCGATCATCCATTCGGCATTGATGTTCCTAGTTCGTTGTGTCTATTGTTCTATTACCATACCCTACAACGTTGACGGGACACAAGTGAGGCAGAATGTCACAGCACTTCTCGTGAGGCTCATCAACGGTCGTTCCAAGTCACCATTGGTGGTACTGGGACATGCGAACGCCAGACATGTAGAATTCTGCAGGTTATCTTGAGACCGGTAACGACGGCGACCAACATGACGGCTGATCACAAAGCTCTGCGTGGAGAATTGTCTCGGACAGTTTTGGGCGAGAGGACCAAGTCTTTTGTCATCATCCACGATGATGCCCGCTCAGCTTGTTCAGGAGAAGGTGTACAACTGTACTTATGCTTGTTTTATTCGTATGCAGATAAGTGTTACTGTGTTGACACGAACCGGCATTATTTCTCGAATTTCCATCTACTGTACTTTATCATCACTGCTATCGTGGACTGGAGTGTTTCATCAAGAGAGGCCGGCCAGAGGGAACCCTACTGCACCAGAAAGCGACAAGCTAAGCACTAAGTTTCAGATCGACAGGGGCACAGAGAGAGAGAAGAACAAGTGGCCCGTGCATGAGATTGATGACAGGTTCCGTCAAAGGGATCACATTCAAATACGATGGGATCAAAGTACAGGTCTTCAATGAACACATATGAATCAATATGTAACAATGACAGCAGTGCATGATGTGTTTCGTCCCATCTGTGATGCTGAGTCTATTGCCATTGTTGATGAATGCATGTAATGTTCGCACAGTGCAACGAGAGATAAAAAGTTGCGGTACCTTCCCCATCCGGCCAAGTGAGCCACAAGAAAGTCAAAACCGGCCACGCTGGGGACGCGTGGCAGGCTGAGATTCGCATCGGCATCAAGCATCCGTGGCAGCCTCTCTTTCGATGAAATGATACCGAGATGCCCAAGATGCCCCAAGGAATCTGAGATGAGGTGTGAAATGACCATGGTAGCCAGGAGATGTGGATAGGGCATACAAGCGAGAAGGCCTCTCGAAGAAAACGCACATGGAATTCTACTCGTGGAGGAGTCTCCCATTGGAACGGAAGAGACGGCGACAGTACACATCCTTGTCCTCTTCCTTTCCCTTCCGTAACCGAGAAAGCACTTCACTGTACTGCATCTGCATCTGCGTCTGCCTCTGCATCTCTCCTCAACAATAATCGTCACCTGATCCACTTTGCTTGTGCGTGTGTACCGTGTGTACGTGGAATACACCGAGAGAGACGCATGCATGCATGGTGTGCAAAATGAAGCAATAGGCCCGAAGGAGGAGGAGGCCCATGTACGATCCTTTGACGCCTACTGATCTGTTCAACTCGACTTCGCGAGCAGGATATGTGGACTTTGCATATCCGCTGCATCGGGTCAGCGTGGATGAGCAGTTCCGCGAAGGGGAGATGCATCGTGAATACGAAACAGTGTTCCATGTGAGCCGACTTTGCATAGAGGTGAAATGATAATGGAATAATGATAATTCTGGTGGACGATCGATGCAGGTACCGCCTAACTATCCGACGGCGACTAGTATACAGTAGTAGTGATAGTAAATAGATAAGAATAAATGGGATCGGACAGGAACAGGATAAAGAGTGACAGTTCCAAGTGCCCAGGTGGATCATTGGATGGAGAGGAAGGAGAAAGGGAGGAGCCGGAAGACTCGGCGCGTGTGGACCCACGTCTGCCAATTGGGCGGCAACCCGCTGGCGTTTCATCCGTCTGTCACCAGTCAGTCCAGGCAGGCCCCACTCCCCTTCCCACCGCTTCTCCTCGCCGCCTCCTCTCCCTGTCCGCCGCTCCATTGTTGATCTTCATGTTTCCATCATCCAGGATATGCACGTTCTAGAACGGAGATCGGCCTGACAATATACATCGAGATTGCTCCGTCGTCGCTGTTTCTATAGCATCGTACATGGGATAGATACGAATCGTGAATTCTCTCATCCCCCTCCTCACCACTGCCGGAATTCCGAAACCTTCTCCTGCAAGCCACACGTGAACCTGCGCGCTTCCCTTCAAATTTAGTGTGTCAGAGAAGCGCCACGTCACTCCAGGGGTTGGGGCGGTTTTCTCCCTCTCCCTCCCTTTCGCGTCAAAAAAAGAAAGAGAGGACTGCAACGGTTGACGGGAAGGGAAATCCTCCTTGCTCGCCCCGGAAGAGAGCACGCGCGCATGCACTGCCTGACCGTTGCGCCCATCCGTCATGCCCGTTGAGCGAGCCGCGAGTCTTTGCCGTCTTGCTCCTCCAACGGTCGACTATCGTTGTCCATCATCATCACATCGTGAAGGAGCCATGACCACGGACAGTTCGGCGCGCGGCGTTCGTCATTGTCGCTGTCGCTATCGTCGTCTCGTGAACGAGTGCAGTTGAATTTGCCCTACCATTTGTAAATTGCACCGGGATGATCAGTATTAGAAAAACCCCCGAGATGTGCGGGATGCATTCAGGAACGGCACGTCTCTCCGGCGACGCTGCAACAGGCTCGACAGGGAGGTTTCCTGTCGTTTATCATCAACGACGAGAGAGAACAGCCATCTGCAGGCGCACGCGACTTGGGAGAATGCAATGAACACGCGTATAGCGAGCCGGAAGAGTAGGTAGGAAACCACTTCTGGAGTGTAGGCGTGTGTGTGTGTGAGAGAGAGAGAGTGGGAAAAGCGTGGCGCTGAACCTGAAACCGTTCGCTTGGATCTGATCCCTCCCGTCCATCACTTTTCACTCTCAACACGCTCGCATCGCACCACATTAGTTGGCATGGTGTTGTATGAGTGGTGTATGAGATGTGAGTGTGTGCGCGGCCCATCCCTTCTTCTGGAGTGTCGTCGTCGTCGTCGTATGGTGGTGGATGTTGTATCCGGCGGCGGCCCCACCACACTCTCTCGTAACGACACACGCACACGCACACTCTCACTCACACACACACCAACACTTCACTCTCTCACACTCATTCACCTTTGCCGCTCTTCTCTGTTCCTTACTACTTCATCATTGAATCGCCCTCGTTCTCTGCTCTGCTTTTTCCCTTTTCGCCTTTGTTTGTTCTTTCTATCATCAGCCTCATCGTCGGTCACTCACTCACGACACTCACACTCCTTCTGGAGCATCTCGCTCCCTCAGCAACACTTACACTCATTATTCAACAACACTTCGACAAACCGTCGCTCATTCAGCAAACCTCTTCGTTTGGTCATCATTGCCCTGGTTGGCAGTGATATCACCTCCGTCTCTCTTTTTCTCACACTCACTCGACAACTTCCAGCGCTCCAGTAGCAGCTTCTTCAATCGCATCTGCCTTGTTCGCCTGTCAGTTACTCGTCGAATTTCAATCGACTTCGCAGGACGACAGGATCCAAAATCCGGCTTGTCAAAGAACTAGATATCTCCAATTTGCAACCACATCTCGAAACCCTTGAAAAGCGTTGCAGAGTCTAGAAGACCTACGTTGACAAAATGGCACCCATCTCCAAGTTCGCCCTCTTGGCCTTCATCACCTCTGCCCTGGCGGCTCCTCAAGGTGCTTATCAACTCGAGCCATATGGTGCTGCTACCGCCAAGTCTACAGCGGACGCGACCTTGACCACCGCTACCAAAGACCAACTCGAGCCGTATGGTGGCGCCAAATCCACAGCTGCCGCGACATCCCCCGCCGCTACTCACGATGGACTCCAGCCGTACGGTGGTGTCACCAAGCCTACAGTGGCCGCGACATTGACCACTGCTCCTCATGCCACCCACCCATCTGGATCCGTTTCTCGTCAACACGGCTCCTACAGCAGCGGTAGGCCACGACGCTCGGGAAGTGGCAAGAAGTCTCATTCGCGTGCATCTCGAACTCGCCCGGCTCTCTACACCACGGCCTACACCACCGTTGACGCACAAGCTACCGCATACGCGACTGCGGGTGGCGCGACGGATGCCCTCACAGCCGCTGATGTGCCCAAGTACGCCCCGACTGGTGCTGACTCGCTAAACAACGCTCCTGGCTATGGCAGCTCTCCAGGTGGAAGTGATAAGCTCACCGGCGCCGCCACTGGTGTGCCCACCTCCCAGGCTGGCTGCGGTACGGATCAGGTTGTCACTAAGACTGAACGCCTCACGGTCTATGTGACCGAGGGACAACAGCAATCTCCTACGACTGCTGCCGCCGCCACGACCGAACTGACGACCACTGTGTTCAGCACCCGCACTACCAAGCTGACTCAGACAACCACTCTTGCCTCAACCGCTAGCACTGACGCGATCACTGGTGCCGCTGCAACCACTGGAGCCGATGTTGCCGCAACCACTGCCTTCACCGACGCCAAGACCGCCACCGACAAGGCACCGACTACAGCGCCGACTACCGATGCTGCTCAGACATATGGTAACTCCAAGGACACAGCTACCTCGCCCACGACACACCGCACTGAGGCAGCTCCCACCACGAGCTCTGAGTTGACCGCTGCGCACGCTACCACCACTGAGGCAGCTCCTCCTGCGACTACCGTTTCGCCAACCACTGAGGCGAAGACTTCTCCACCTGCAACTACTGCCCCAGCTGCCACCACCACCGCCGCACCGACTACCACCGCCGCGCCCACCACTGCCGCACCCACCACGGCTGCGCCCACCACAACTGCGAAGCCTACCACAAGCCCTGCAACGTCTCCGGCCGCTACCACCACAGCCGGTAACCTCCTTGACAACATCGGAAGCAACATCGGAAACTTCTTTGGCGGTGGCGGTTCCTCTTCAAAGTCGGGCAACTCCGGCAAGCGTGGTCTTGCGTACAACGACGCCAGCCTGTGCTCTGCCTTCAAGGGATCCAATGAAATCTCGTGGGCTTACAACTGGGGAGCCTCTACCGCTCCTCTGAACCTGCCTGGTGTAAAGTACATCCCCACCATGTGGGGCAACAAGCCTGACTTCACCAACGGCTGGGCCGACAAGGCCAAGGCTGCCATTGCTTCCGGCTCCGACGTCATCTTCTCCTTCAATGAGCCCGACCACCCAGAACAGGCCAACATGAGCCCTGCTCAAGCCGCCGACATGTACCGCAAATACATGAACCCCCTCGCTGGTCAGGGTGCCAAGCTCTGTGCTCCTTCCGTCACCAATGGTGTCAAGAACGCCGACGGTTCTCCAATGGGTCTCCCCTGGCTCAAGGAATTCCTCGCGCAGTGCACGGACTGCAAGATCGACTGCCTCAACATCCACTGGTATGACAGCGCGAGCAACGTCCAGTACTTCAAGGACCATGTCACTGAAGCTCACGCCCTCGGAAACGGCCAACTGCCCGTCTACGTGAGCGAGTTCGGCGCCACTGGCAACCCTGCCCCCAGCGACGTCTCCACTTTCCTGAAGGCCGTCATGCCCTGGATGGACAGCCAGTCGTTCGTCTCTGGTTACGCCTACTTCATGGTCGCCAACGGCAACTTGCTGAACGGTCTCGTCCCTTCCCTGTTCGGTAGCACTTACATGAGCAGCTCCTAGATTGGCGATACGTGATCGTCAATCTCCAATTGTTCATGTTTATCTTTTTTCGCTTCCGCACTGGAGGAGGACGAAAAATCCAGGCGTTACGCTTGGTTCTCCCTTCGCATCTCTTTGACCTGGAGGACAGGGGCATGGGACTGAAACCGCACGCTGGCGTCGGTGTCAATGGCAAAGCATGGGAAATTCAGCAGACGATGGGATTTCGTATTCTTTTCTTCTTCTTTTCTTCTTCTCTTCTTCATTGTTTTCGAGAAATCTGCCTGCCAGAGAGAAATACAAGGCGAGAGAGATAAAACCCAAAGCATCAAAGCACTTTACGAGCGAAGGACAGGAATTCTTCTTCAATTCCTTTTCCCTTTTTGCTGTGCGATACGACAAAATCAATGACCTTCTTTCTGATTTTGTCAATCACGTTCTTCCATTGAATAACTTTCATTCTCGCGTGCTCGTGCTGTGTGATCTTGCCTCGATGGGCTCTAACCCTCCCCAATTTTGAAATGTTACATGAAACATAAAGCATGATACTGGCAGAGTGCTCGCATCCCAGCGGCTACCGTATCATATCAACCCAATATAATCTGATTCGCTGCCGTGCGAGCGCGAATTATCGAAGGAAAACCAAAACCCCACCCTATGTCACTATTGCACAATGGGATCCTCCTCAAATTTGACCCTCTTCCCACTACCATTCGGTTTCGTCCTGCCCGCCGCAGTAGCGTCAGTCTGCTCCTCAGCGCTCTCCGGCTCGGCCTTTCGTTTTCCTTTACCCTCATATGTTGCGGCTGCTGCTGCTCCCGCCTCCTGCTCAGAAGCCGTCGCCGATTCCTTCTTCTTGCCTTTCTTCACCAGGCCCGTGAGATCATGTGCGTTCTGAGTCGCCTCTTCCAGAATCTTCTTTTGCCCGCTTTTGCTTTCGCCCAATAAGGCGCCCAGAACACCGCGGATGGCATCTGCGCCCGCGCCGTCGAGACCGTCGCCGCCGCCGGGGCCTTGGTGCAGGCCGCTCAGTGATGTGGCGGGTCCTCGCAGATCGATCAGGCGTTGCTTCATGTCGGCGATCATCTCTTTGATGTCGACGAGGTTCTTGCGGAGCTCGGTGGCTTTCTCGGGAGCCAGTGATGATAGTGTGGCGCTTTCTTTCTCCATGCGGAGGGTGCAGCTCTCGATGGCCTTTTCCATTTCTGCGGCGGCTTCGGCGCGCATTTTCTCGTCCACGACGCCGGTTGGCGCGTCATTTGGGTCTGCGGCCGGCTCGGTGGAGGTCACGGAGGCGAACTCGAGAGCGAGACTGAGTTTGAAATGCGCCTCCGCGACGAGACTGCTTTCGGTCGGGTATAGGTGTAGCTTGAGAGCAAGCGCATCGCGCGTATCGTTGATGGCATCGGTGAAACGTTCGTTCTCGAGTGAGATTTCGGCTTGCAAGTCGTGTGTGTCTGCTAGACGTTCCTCGAGTTGTCGTACCTCGCTGGCGGTCCCTGATGCGCTGCGGACAGCCTCGATGCGTCTTGCGAGTAGCACACGCGCCATATCTAGGATCTCGTATGCCACGGCAAAATCATCGTCGTCACCCTCGTCTTCTCCCTCTGCGCCTTCACCATCGGCTTCGTCGCCATCCTCCTCTTCTTCCGAATCGGTCCAATTCTCATCACCGGTGATCTGGAAGAAAGGTTTCGAGGGCTCCGTCGAGGCTTTCTCTGCAGAAGTCTGATGACCTTGAGAAGCTGCCTCGCCGGATTTGATCGCATCACCAATAAGACTGCTCCCCGCCGTTGCAGCACCGCTGCTGCCTTCTCCATTATCTTCATTACTCTTGACTATCTTTCTCTTCTTTCGTTTCGGTTCCTCTGAACTCGCTACTTTTCCACCTAGAACATCTGAATTCTGTACAGCGACATGGTACAAGCATCGGCCGTAGTGGTACAAGAGCTCGGCATTCTCCGGTGACATTTCGCCATTGATGCTATCCTGCACCTCGGCGGCCTCACTATAGAGCTCGGCGGCTGCACTGTAATTCTTGAGGGCATATTGTTGGGTGGCTTGCGCTTTCAGAGACTCTAGTTTCGCTGTAAGGTCGGCCGGAGCGGCACTCGCCTCGTTTGTGTCCGTCATAGCGAAAGATTGTGTGCGTGATTGAAAAGGAGGAATGATATTGAGTATTCAACAGACGCTTTGAGTGGGCTTAGGCAGTGGTCGGTGATTATGATACTGTTGCTTCTCGGAATCGAATGAGGGTCGCGACAGGGTCCAAGTTGATCGCGTCGCGTGAGTTTAATAATGGAGATGCGACGCGCTTGAAAGAACACAGCTGACATCATCTCAGTATGCCGTAGAGAGTCGATGTCTTCTCGTATGCCGAAGTGTAAGCCCGGGCACGTGACTACGCGATGCATCACGGTTGAACGAGTCCACGCTTTCATCCAATCCCATGGGATGAATCGGACCGAGATAGATGGCTTTTTGATTCATGCATTGGTCGTTGTGCCTCATCGTGATGTGCGGCCGACAGACAGACATGTAGAACAGACGCAATTCTACTGTAGGACTGTTCTCAGATCTGGAACCCCGCCAATATCACCGAGAAGTGACGGAGGACACTACGCCAAATTCGAGTTAAAGTGAGACGCGTCGCGTCACCCGGACTTCAGCAGTAGATATTTGCAGTCCACGCCCAGAAATGGGTACCCTGTGAGCGGTATTAGCCCTCGAAATCCTATCGTCTCCACTCACGTTCGGAATCGTCTTTGTTCGGCATTGGGTATCCAAGGATGGAGGCTTTTCGCCGTGTACAAGAAGAGGCAAGCGCAGCAACACTCTCATCCTCGCCCGCGTTCGGCACTCCAGTCCACCCATTTCCAGCCAACGATGGACGACGGCCACTACCTCCACCTGCATTCAAACCTGCGATTGCCACAATCCTTCCGATACTGCTTCCGCCTCCTACACTTCGACCGCTTGCCTTTCGTACCTTCACCAAGAAACACAACCTCACACTCACATCCTCGGCCTTGCAAGCACTTGCGAGCTTCATAGGCCGACATTGTGGATCAGGATGGAGGGAAGAGGGCCTGGGCGAAAAGGTCTTGGAAGAGGTCGCGCGCATGTGGAAGGCTGCCGATGGCGCGGCGATTGTTGAGGATGGCGAGAAGCTAAAGACTTTCCTTCATACTCTCGAAGGATGCATGAGCGGTGGAAGAGTCCTTCCGGCCAAGACAGGTGCGAGTGGTCTGCGCTCGAGCGACTTGTCTCGACCACCACCGAGTTTAGAACGAGAAGGAAGTAGCTTCGGGCTGAGCGAGCTGCGAGTAGATTCTCCCGCGCCGGTCGACGAGGAGCAATTCGAGGACTGCAACAAGGATCCAAGATCCTGGCTCAAGGTCGTCTCGGCATTTAGACAGCCTCGACTTACTTTCAATATCGACAAGAAACATTTTCTGACAGTAGAGAAGCCTGTAACGCCTTTTCCTTCACCATCACACAAAACAGCGCTCTTTCGCGAGCGGTACAACATCATCCACCAAAGACTTCAACGCAATCCCGCATTTCAAGCCCCATCCCTAAGTACGGGACATGCGCCTCTTCGGCGGACCGGTAGCGCCATCACAGAGCAGCAATTCTTCAAACTTACACCGATCTCTAATCTTCTCGGCCGAGGCGGCTCGACACATCTCTTGCTGGGAATGCTTGCCGTTGCACCCACAGGTACTTTAGCCATCAACGACCTGAGCGGAAGCATCAGTCTGAACTTGCAGCATGCGACCTCGATGCAAGCCGATGCGGAGCCTTATTTCTGTCCAGGCATGATTGTTCTGGTAGATGGAGTCTACGAGGAGGATTGGGCAGGTGCAGGTTCGAGTGGCCTTGGCAATACGCAGGGCGTTGGTGGTTCCATTGGAGGTCGATTCGTCGCGTTTCAAATCGGCGTTCCCCCCGTGGAGCAGCGCAACTTATCGCTCGGGATCAATGTTTCAGCAGGCGATGTCGGGGGCGCTTTCGGTTGGACAGACTTTCTCGGTCAGGGTTCAGAGCGGTCGATAGGCACACGGATGCGCAAGATTGAGAACAGAGTCATCGGGCCGGATGCAGCATTGGGAATTTCACGGCGAAGAATGGTCATGCTCGCGAGCGTCACGCTAGATCAACCGACCACTCTGGCAGCTTTGCGCAAAATACTGGAACAGTACTCTGCTGCGGAAAACTTGCCATCATCTTTCGTACTCATGGGCGACTTCTCATCCAAAGCTGCCATGGCAGGCGCTGGCACCGGCTCCATCGAATACAAAGAGCTTTTCAACGATCTCGCAGCGGTGCTGGCAGACTTTCCATCCCTACTTCGAAGTTGCACATGGGTGTTTGTTCCCGGCGACAATGATCCCTGGGCATCATCATTTAGCGCAGGCGCTGGTACCATCATTCCGCGTGAAGGTATTCCCGACCTTTTCACAAGTCGGATCAAACGTGCCTTCGCCACAGCTAAATCTGAAGCTGGACCGACATCCAAGAAGGACGAAATCGATGGCGAGGCCATTTGGACCAGCAATCCTACACGACTGACTGTGTTTGGCCCAGCGCATGAGATTGTGGTATTTCGGGACAATATCTCAGCGCGCTTCCGCCGCAATGCCGTGCGCGTTGGCCAATCTGTCACTGTAGACCCAGCATCAACAAATTCTGAACGCCGTCCATCTCAGACTAATGATGATGGAGACATTGAGATGTCCGGCGCTCTGCCTGAGCCCGCCGATGAGTCCTTACACACCTCGATCGAGAGAGAAGACCAAGACGGGACAGCGTCGTCCCGTCTCGCAGCTGCAATCAATACCGCCACTGCCGCTGAGAATCTTGCCGTCCAGGCCGCCAAACGTTTGATTTTATCTGTACTTCCACAATCAACCCTCTCTCCTTTCCCTCTAGCTACGCGTCCCGTCCACTGGGACCATGGCCCTTCGGCTCTATCACTTTACCCTCTTCCACATACCCTGGTCCTAGCCGATCCAGAGATGCCGCAGTTCACTTTGACATACGAAGGTTGCCATGTGGTCAACCCGGGTCGACTGGTGGAAAGCGCAGGATCTGGTCCTGGGAGGAGACGAACAAAGGCACAATGGATAGAGTACGATATCTACACGAAGAGAGGTGTCGGGCGGGAGGTGTGGGTAGGATAGATACTAAGCCATAGTCTAATGAGAAATGAGTATATCCTGCCGATGCTCATTCTTTGGAAGTCTCGCGAATGCGGTGGTACATGCACTTCTTTTTGTCAATGGTTGTGAAAGGATTGGCCTCGAGTGCGAATGGACAATCAATGTGTGGATTATGACTTTCAAGAGTGAGTGAAATCACTATTCGATACTCCACGGGTCCGGACCGTACATCAATGACTTATTTGTACATTGTCGAGTCTCGCCATCCCTTCGTGCTTTGATAATCTTCCAATGAGATGTTTTGGTGCTCGGGGGCAAAGGTCATTTTGTTGGCTCAACCAACACCAACGAAGACACACCGTCGCGCGCATTGCGGAGCAACGATAGTAAGCTGGCGTGACTGCTGCCTGAACACCAACACCACTGTTGGTGTTGGTTGAGCCAACGAAGGCACACCGTCGCGTGCATGTCGCGTGCATTGTGGAGCAATGATAGTAAGCTGGCGTGACTGCTGCCTGAAATAGACGAGCTTGATCATCACAGTGCATCCCTGAACAATATCTTCAGGCATATAAGAAGGCGCCATCGCCAGGTGAACGTTTCTGCATTACCTAGGCAGACTTTGTGGATCCTGCGACAACACGAATCGAGACACAAGCACTTATCAGAACACCAGATAGGTCGAAGGCTGCGTGTTACCGCTGTACCTCGCATTAGAAAGCACGCCTCGTATCGGAGAGCAGCGTTGTATCAACCTGCATTTGGCTTGACGATATATCGACCATCAACCAATTTCTCAAGATAAATTCGCAAGACCACCTGCTCTGACAACCGCCGTAGGCTGGCCTATCATGACGAACCTACCTGCTCCAATGCTGCTCGATCCTCAGAGTCACCTCGGTTTGATTCCTGCGCTCGCACAAATTCACTCTGACTGTGTCATTTCCGATGGCACGCTGGCCACTTTTCGTCCTGATCCTACAACAGGAAAAATGAACATGCCTGCCCTGGAAGCCTTCTGGGAGAAGATGATAGCGGAAGTAGTCAGCGGACAACGCGAGATCGTTCTACAATTCGCATCTGCATCCAGCGAGAATGCCACCGGCGGACTCGAATTGGCGGGCTACGCCAGTCTTTATATGCCCTTCTCAGAAACGGGTCCTTTCCGGTCTTTTGTCGAGAAATTAATGGTCAGTCCGAGGCACAGGAGAAAAGGCATCGCACGCCGAGTGATGCAACGGATAGAGGAGGTCGCCGAAGAACGGAACAGAGGATTGGTTGTAAGTCTTTGCCCTTCTTTTCTTGGCCGTTTCGCATGATCATGGAGGATGCATCCAGACTACCGCAGACGCCATTTCACGCTTTACGCGCGGCACATGCACGCATCAAGCTATTTTCTACCTGTGCAATGCGCTCGTTCTCGAACGCAATCGTTATTGACCATAGGACAGATACTTGACACAGTGATCGGATCAGAGGCTGCACATGTCTACCCACGCCTTGGGTATACTGAATTTGGAAGACTTCCCAGATATGGCATTTCGCCGATCGACGGCAGCTTGGTTGACGAAATCTTCTACTTTAAAGATTTAAGAAAAGCGTAGCCGAATCTAAACTTCATCTAAACTTTCCTCTAACCATATATTATTATTATTACTACCTTTCTCTTGAAGCCTCCGTCGGCGCAATTCGATCCCCCCGATCCAACATGCTCTGCTTCTAGATCTACACTTGCGCGTCAACATTCGACGGGAGAAGGTGCAGATTTCATCAATTTGCATACAATCAAGCCCTTGCTAACATATATGTCGAGTACGATTGTCGACTATACAATCTCCAGTTCGTTTCGCAGACAGCTAGTTTCAAAGAGTGCTATCTGCGCCCATTTTATGGCGCCAGCCATTCGTTTCGAGCGCCATGTCGTGCAATCCATGGCTTGTCGTCGCATTAGAATCAGAGCAATTCGAAGAATTCAGCGGCGGAAATTGATGCTGTGCCGGACCTATTGTTCTGCTTTGTGAAGACCCCCCCGCAAACCACCAAGCTCTACCAGCACAATAAGACGACTAACCAAGGCCGACAAGGCGAGACGCATTCCAATATCGCTAATCGCATCAATCGCAGTAACAAACAGTAGCCCAGAGAACGATATGATCGCGAAAATGAGATGGAAAAAGCTCAAGAAACCGGACAGATTGCAAAGCAGGAGCCCGATGCGAACTTCAGTATTGTGCGCCTTCCAGTTCCTGCTGGGGTAATGCGCGTTGAGTTGTCCCACTGTTGACGTGAATTCCAGTCGCAAACGCTCTCCCCAGGACTTCGTTTGTGATGCTATCGATGTGCCCACTTCACGAACCTCGTATCCGGCCCTTTTCGATTGAGGTCGCCTCTTTCCGCTGTCACCAGTCTGCACGGGAGGCTCTAAACTCGATGCTGAAGCTATGGACGGGAGACAGGTTGAGACTTGAAGGTAGGCGGTCGAGTCGGGGTTTCGCGAATGATCCAGCGTGAGGTAGTAGCCTACGCAGGCCATGATGTGGAACATGACCGGTAGAGAAATCCAGACATAGAGAGGCCAGGTCATCGTGCAGCCCCAATTTAAAACTCCGTTCAAAGAAAGTTCGATCACGAGGAAGGCAGTGTTTCCCACGGCACCGAGAGCTAGGAGATACTGGATGATTCCGAGAACTAGCGAGGCGCGTTTGCCTCTCTTGTTCATGATCAGCGGATTGCGCACATCGCCAGCCGTGTGATCTAGTTTCAGCAGCTCTCCAGGATCTTGCCAACTGAACACACGATCCACAATGACGGCGGGTGATGCTGCAGAGAGGATCAGACCTAGGCCCGGACGATACATTCCAACCAGTGCAAGTTCCGTTGTAGTCGGTGCGAGCGCCACAAGGACCAGAGGCATTAAACCGAGGAGGGCAGTTCCAGTCGAAAGTGTTGCCTTGCTATACTCGCTCGTATTGTCGAGGATACATGAGACATGTTCGCGACAAGTTGCGTATGTCGGCGAGCTGTAGAGACCGAGATTGTTGTCGACATGGTTTGATGTACTCGCATAGGCTTTGCGATACTCGGCAAGAGTCGCGTTACATTCGTTGTTGGAAGTGGGCTCGAAGATCTTCCGAGCATTCGAAAACCAATGCTGGAACCGTTCTTGTGTAATCATTGTTGCTCAATAATGTCTACGACTAATTGTAGGTATGCCAGAAGATTAAGTGGCGAAACGGCAATCTGAGGACCGGAGAGTGGGTTATAAATCGGGCGAAGGATTAGGAGCCCAAAGTGAATAAGCACTAGACAGGGATTACAGGCCGGTGAGGTACTTTGATACGGAAAGGTTATCTCCGATGTCGATTATCAGGAGCGAATACTGTACTTAGTACATCGTAAGGAGTATCGTAGAGGAGATATTGGCGGTCGGCCTTAGCCTTAGCTTCTTACGACGGGAGGCCTAATAATAAAATAATGTACGCCTTTGTAGTGATCTTTTATAATGTCCTTGTGTTGACATCACCATTTGGTGCCTAAGGCACCTCACCTACTAAGCTGGCCTCAGGCCTGTCGTGTCTTGTGCTAACACTACTATTCTGTGCCTGAGGCAGCTAAACAACCAAGTTGGCCTTAGGCCAAAGTCCAATGGGCCTTGGCAGGTGGACTACATAGTAGTAGTACAGGCCTCGGAGTACTTAGTAATTGAATCAAGTCCTCACTGCTGCGCAGAAGGCCCGGCACGGTTATAACACTTTGTCGTCGTATTTAGTTCGCAGAACGCACGCTCAAAGATGTTCCTACCTAAGTGTAATTCTTTTTATTAGGTATGTCTCTTTTTATACTACTTAGATCTTTCGACGCCGTATATTATCCTAGGATCTATAGATATTAACTGTATATATTATTCGCGTCGGTGTTTATATTATAAAGCTCTCTTAGTTATATGTTTCTACTACGTTAATCTTTATATTATATTAGTCTTTAGCTTTAGAGGTTAGAGTAAGCGTAGGTTTAGATAAGGATTAGGGCAGGTAAAGCTTATTAAAAGCGGGCTTAGTACTAAAGTATACTTATATTCTTACTATATAGAACTTTACTTTACTTTAGTATACTTTACTTAATAAGTTAGGGTAGTATTTATACCTTATAGTTATCTTCGAGAGCTTAGCTAGACCTATTCCTAAAGGTAATATAAATTAGAATATAGAGACTTTTCGAATTAAGCGTCCGAGGATAGTAGCTTAGTCGTACCTATAATAATTCTACCTACTATATTAATTACTTATATTAAATTAATTACTACTCCCTTAGTAATAACTCTCTATATTATAGATCTCTTAAATACCTTGTAGATATCTCCTAGAGTGTTCCTTAAATTTAGTAATCTACTAATTGTCTTTACTTGTTTTTTATATTTTGGAGAAATTTACTATCTCTAGATATAAATATTACATAATATTATAATTATAGTTATATATTTAAAAATAGTTCATACTTCTATTTTAGCTTCTCTTCTTTTTAGTTAGCCTTTTTATCTCTTTAAAGAGGTTTATCAAATCTAGAGAGCCTTAAAATTATTTTAAAAAGACTCTTTAATCTAATAAATTCATATCTCTACTTCTTGTATTTTAGAGAGGCTTTATAAAGCCTAGAGAGCCTTTACGATAGCTTTTAATAAAAGATAGAAAAGATAAGAGGTTGTTCTTTAGTATTACTATATAGCTAATACTAAGTATTAGATATAAGGTACTAGATAATATACTTCTCTTCTAATATCTCTTCGAAAATTACTAAAAGTTACTAAAATTCTAGAAATTTTAGAAGCTTATTTGCGATTTATTTCTTTATAGTCTTTTTAGCTTATATAAGACTAACTATATATAATATTTAGTCTATAAGGACTAGACTTCTAGTTAATTTACAGTCTAGTAGCTTTCTTTTCTTTCTTTAAAATATATCTTCTCTCTATACTATTTAGTAAATATTTAATAGACATAATCTTTTTAACTTTAGGGAAGCTTCCTTATTACTAAAAAGAGTCTTTTTAAAATTTATAGATTTATAGACTACTATCTCTAAGAAGTATAAAGAGATAACGTAATCTATCACCGAGCGGGCCAAATCACCGAACGGGCCATTTTGTCTTGGCATTACAACTGAGGTGACTACAACCGTTGTTTATTCAACCACACACTTAGTTATACATCTGCTATGCTAGGATATGGTTCAGAAGGAGCATCTCTATCTGTCTGGCAAGT